GCCGCAGGCCCAGCAGCCTGAGCACAGGGAAGCCGCGTACCGTTCACCCTGCCAGATCTGGCAGCGCGCGCGCCAACGCGCCGTCCCACATATCCTACAGAACGACAAAGCAAAAGGAGATCGAAGTCCCTCGCGAGACCTCGCCGCGCCCTGCTCTTCGATGATCTGCAGTGCGGGGTCTGGCGCCGGCTCGAGGACGAATGCGAATGCGAAGGCGAATGCGGGCTAGCCCCCGTCGCTGTCACCGCGCGAGTGAATGGGATCTCGGGGCGGGGGCGTCTGATCAGCTGGCAGCTGGATCTGCCTGGGAGGCGAGGTAGCGCGGTAAATCGTGTGCGGGGACGCGAACAGTACCTCGCCCTGGCCCGGCGTCCGTCTCCGTCGCACCGATGCGCGCCGTCCCCCATGCGCCGTGAGACGTGCGGGGGGCCCCGGGACCGTGGCCGGTGGGCTGGCGGGTGTCCATTTCGCGTATAGGGCCTGCGCAGGGAGTAGCATGCATGGGCGTCTGGATGGTGTGCCATTTATCGAGGGAACCACAGGTCCCGCACGAAAAAATGTGACGGTGCCGGGAAGGAATATTGGTGGGGTCCACGTTCAAACGTTCATTGCGCAGGGCTTCTGGGGGGCAAGGACGCGTTCTATGTGGAGACGGCGTGGATGTGTAGATAGACAGGCTTGTTCTGAAGAGATATGCGTGCACATGCACCATTGCGTCACAGAAGGCTTGGGTGGACGTGACGCCGTCTGTGAGCATGTCTAGAAACCCTCGAATATTCCACTTACTTGACGGGCGGCTTGGAGTCGCTGGTTTCTGGTTTGTGCCAGGATATTGTCGTTTACGGTCCATGCGTGACTGATAACGTCGCTCATTAAAGATAATGCCAGGACAGCTTGGAAAGCGGTCCGATATTGCAGGTGGCAGGCCTCCGCTCGGAATACATTACAACATGGCACGCCACGGCCGGGCCGCTGGGCGCACATCACCCCTATGGCGCACATTGCTATATCTCCTGAAGACAAGAAAAAACTGTAATGCCACCGGCATCAGCGCTGCGAGCACGGTGGCGATTGGAAGGATGCCGAACGAACCTGAGCACTTGTTGCGACGACCCGGAGTCCCCGGGATCGCAGTCGGCTGTGCGCTCAGCCACTATGCATGTCGTGCAGATAAACGGGGCACGGGCCTCCGATGGCGAGCGGAAGGGCCGCCGTACGGGACCGTGCATAGTGATCAACGTTCAACGTGCGCATTGCGTACCTACTGCCACCAGCCCACCCGGCGGTTTGTCGTCCGAGCGGTTGATCCGGGCGCAATTTTTGCGGGTGGATGGGCGAAAGCATATTTGCGAGGGGGTATGCACCCGAACGACGTGCGGTTGTGTTTGGGGGTATAATGGAACACGAAATTTGCACGACGGTCGTGGTGGACGCAAGTTCGAACGAGAGTCGCTGAGCAGTGGAGAGACGCCCGTGCCGCGTGGCTGTGACGGCAGAGTCACACGGTATCGAACTCGGCGTCTGGTTCTTGGTGCTCCACCGCCGGACTGCGTCCGCATCTCTCGACGCTTGCTCCCACTCTCACGCAGATCAGAGTTCCACCTCCGACGCTCACGATAGCGTCAAACAGGCGGCCACTGTATTCAGAGAACGGTCGGCAGACGGCGCCGCAGGACAAGCTGGTGGCGGTACTGGGCCGCCGGACGCAATAAAAGGTTGAAAGCATTGATATGTCACAAGTCGCCCGTCAAGTTCGCAGGGCTCGGAGGGGAGTTGTCGGCCGCGCGCGCCCTCCCACGAACAGGGGTTCTCCCGTCCCAGGAACCGCACGGGCCTGCTATGAGCAGGCTGCGGACCAGATAGGCAACGGGTAGCAGGGTCCGCTGAGGAAGTTCCCGGCGAGGGCGCGTCGTTCTGCGCGGAAGGGACGATCGCTGGATCTGGTCGCCGGCGACGCTTCATCGCCCTCCAAAGATCTCACGCAGGTTCCGCTCTCCATTCATCGTGCTCGCCCAGGATCTCGCTGCAGGTGAAGCGTTCAACGTTCGACGGTCGGCCACGAGCGCGCCGTTCTGCAGGACGCCCGGGTGCGGACAGATTCTCTTCCATCTTGCCCGAGCGCAGGAGACAGCAGACGGCTGACGTGCTTCGCCACTCGCACAGGTCCCGAACGAGCTGCCAGGACGGCCGGCCGAGTCTGTCGGCCGTGGATCCTGCCAGAGAGTGGGAGATTCGAGACGCCTAGATGCTGCCTCTTCCCCCGCTGCGCATGGTTCGCGCCCGCAAGCGATCTCAACACTTCACAGAAACCCACGCGCGAAGGCGAAGACGTACGAAGATTCGGGGCCTCTGGGGGCAGACGACGGGTGTGGTCATGCGGTTCCCTGCTGCCCTGCCCGCCCCATCGGCCCCGCATCTGATCTCACTCGCAGCAGCGGCCGTGCATTGTTCGGGCGGATGTTCCGTGCACGTCTCAACCCTGTCCCTCCTTCCTGCACCCACTATTACGCACCGCACTCGCGCAGGAGCCGGTCCCGGACCCCATTTCGTCACCGTTCTGATCCAGTTGTGGCTCTAGATCTGCCTGCCTAGGCGCGCGGAGGCCTGCGCGTACTTCATCGGCTCACCGCACCCCTGCGCATCGCGATATATCAGCGGTAATTGAGCCGGTGTTAATATTACCAGACGGCCGCGTCGTGGTTGTGTGTAATATGTCTGCGCTCATCTGGGCGCGCGGCGACCTGTGGACACTCCGGGGGCTCTCCCCGCCCTGCGCATCGCGATCCATCGGGGCTTATTGGCGCTGTTTTCTGTTCTTTTTCCAGTGTCTGCTTCCTCCTGCACGCTGTCTGTCCAAAATCAGGACCAGGACCGGAAGAAGGAGGAGGACCAGGACCCCGCGCCGTCCTCTTCCACTTCCTCGTCCTCCCCAGTGGGGATATAAATGGGACGGGAAGGCGCGCCTTCCTCTCACCGCCGCTCCTCCTTTGCCTTCGCCTTCGCACCCGCCTTCGCCACGCGTGGCCGTCTCCATCTGCCCAACCGCATCCACCCTCGCACTATCGCCACGATGCCCCACCGATCCTCCCCGTCCCAGCACAGCGTCTCCTCCGCGGGCTCGTCCACCCTCGACATCAGGACCGCCGCGGCTGCCCCTTACTCCATGTTCACCATGTTCGGTCAGTGCCACACTTCCATCGCCCCCCCGTCTTCTCCCGCTCGTGGTTTTCATTTCCCCGTGGGAGTCCCCGCCGCGTCTTCGACTTCTGCTAACTATCGCCTGCGCCCCGTATACAGCCCGTTCCTCGATCCTTTCCGTGCTCAGGTCCGCCATTGCCGTCGGCTACATGCGCATCGAGGACCGGGACGACACCTTCCACTTCGGGAACGAGAAGACGGACGGGGCAGTCGTCCACCTCAAAGTCGTGAGCGGGAAATTCTGGACCCGCGTGTTCACGTAGGTGCTCTCCGCTTCATTTGCGTCTCCGCGAATAACCCAGCTTTCTCCTCGGCAGCTCGGGAGATCTAGGCTGTACGTCCCCGCCGCTGCGCCATTTATATAGCGCCGCCTTCTGACGATCGCCCCCTCGCAGTCAGCGAAGCGTACATGATCGGGGACGTCGAGATCGCCAACCTGAAGTCGATCATGGACGTGCGTGCTCTCCCCCCGCTTCCCGCGGCGCGCGGGTTCTCACCTGCGCATCTCCGCGCCGTTTCCCCTGCAGCTCTGGCTCGACAACCAATCGACGGTCGCCGCGGTGTCGTCGGTGTACGCGCGCGTGCTCGCGGCCGCGTCCGGGCTCCGGAATGCCTTCTTCGGCCAGACGCGCTCCCGCGCGCGCCTGAACGCGATCGCGAGCTACGACCAGTCGAACGAGCTCTTCAAGGTGCGCCCGCGCTCGCCCATCATTGCACTTGTTGCATTCCATGACACTCACGTCATTTGTGTGCCAGGCGTTCTTGAGCAGAGAAATGATGTACTCGTGCGCGCTGTGGGGCGACGCGGAGGGCGGCGTGCGCGGGGACCTGCTTGGGGCGGGCCCGTCCGCGAACGACCTCGAGGGCGCGCAGATGCGCAAAATCCACCACGTGCTCCGCGCCGCGCGCGTCAAGCCGGGCGACCGCCTGCTCGAGTTTGGCACTGGGTGGGGGGCGCTCGCGATCGAGGTGTGTTTCGCCGCCCATGACGCGCGCAAACATCTAAGCTGTGCTGTGGATGGTGTGCGCGCGATGAATTTGACTGGCGCTGACGAATTTGATTTGTTCTCTTCATTTTGATCTATACAGGCCGCCGCGACATATGGGTGCGAGGTTGACACGCTCACACTCTCCGTTGAGCAGAAGGAGCTGGCGGAGGAGCGTATACGAGCGCGCGGACTCGTGGGGCGTGTGCGAGTTCATTTGATGGACTACCGGGACCTGCCTGCCACGTTCGCACACCAGTTCGACGCGTTCGTGAGCATAGAGATGCTTGAACACGTCGGGAGCAAGGTGAGTTGTGCATTCCGCCCATTCGGAGTCACGGACTTTCTGACAGAAATGCAGTACTACAAGCGATACTTCGAGCTCGTGGACTTTGCCCTGAAGCCTGCAGGCGCTACCGTGGTGATTACCTCGTCGACGTTCCCAGAGGGCCGGTATACCGGATACCAGTATGTTCACCCCCGCCCTTCGAGAACCTCACTACGAATACCCGCTGACACATCGCTCGTGCAGAGCGGACGACTTCATGCGGCGGTATATGTGGCCCAACTCCTGCCTGCCGAGCGCGACGGTGCTCATCGACTCCGCGTACGCTTCCTCCGGCGGCCGCTTCACGCTCGAGGCCGTCGAGAACCACGCCCCACGTACGTACATACCCCGGCCAGACCCAACCCATGCTGACTGGCCCCCCCTTTCGCGACCCGTTCATCCCCGCAGACTACCCGCGCACGCTCCGTACGTGGGGCCGGCGACTACACGCGAACCAGTGGGCGCTGCAGGAGACGCTCGCGGCGCGCCATCCAGCGCTGCGGGACCGCGCGACGTACGGCGCGTTCCTGCGCAAGTGGGAGTACCTGTTCGCGTACGCGGCGGCGGGCTTCGCGAAGGGCTACATTACGTGCCACATGCTCACGTTCGTGAGAGCGGTGCGTGCTTTTTGGCGCGTCTTCTTTGCGCTGACGCTGACGACACGATACCTAGAGCGACGTCACGGCTGCGTGCGATTAATGAGTGCGCTGCGCGCCGGCGTGAGGCACTATCCGTGCAATGCGCTGATGCGACGGGGGCTTCCGTGGCTCTCGTCCGGCGAAAATGGGGGGCAAGGGATGGGGTAAGATTATCATCACGGAGCAGGCGGACCATGGCTGCTCGCACAACTAAGTTATTGTTCGCCGTCATGAACGCTCACTGTACTGTATTCCGCACGACTGGTTTAGACGTCGTTGTACCATAGCACTATGCTGTATATTCAAACATACTTCTCATTTGAATCCACCGCACACGGCCCTTCTCCGCCCCATATCCGGAGTGCGGAGATTGCCCTTCCCGGGTGCTCGTCGCTGCCAAATTCTGAACGGTGGCGCCGTGATTTGCCTCTCCGTTAGTATTACGCCGAGCGAATTGGGCCCTCTCTGCACCCGCCCACGGGCAGTGCCCGCGCCGCCATATCATGTCCGGGGACACGTAGGATAGGACGACGTGCCCCCAAACCCTCTCCGGCGGGACCCTAGAGCTGATTCAGCTGTAGACGAGGGCGAAGCCTGCCACCGTTGCGGAGCTGAACTTGACCACGAAGCTCTGCCACAGTCCCGCCCTGCCTGCGCTGGTCGGCGACGATCCCAGGCCCGGAAATAGCCACATCCACGCGACAGCCCGCGCACCGGATGGGCTTCCTACGAGTCTAGCACCTAGGTGCGTGCTGCCAGCAGCGGCGCCCCCACTGGCATGGCGATGGGCGGGGCCTTTTCTCGCGTACGCGGCCTGCGACACACCACCGAGACGCAGGCTCAGCTCGGTCGGGCGGAAAAATAAGCACAGGGCGCGTTCGCGAAGCGCACGCACGCGAGCGCATTTTTTACGTCCCCAGTGCGCCCCTGGGGGGCTGGAAGACACCGGGCCTGGGAGCGCCACCCGCCGGCGAGGACTGCATTGATATTTTGAGTGGGTGGCGACGACGACGACATCATCATCGCGGGAGCCAGCGTGCCGGGTCAGATTGGCTTCGCGCCCGCGTCCTGCGACCTGTGGGTGCGGCTGCAGTCCGTGCTGAATGGCAGATAGCGGCGGGCGCGAAGGCAAACGCAACGTGGCGCGCCCGCGTGACCGTGGCCAGTGAACGGCCCAGGGCGCAGGGCCGTCGCGCTGTACGAAAAGTCGGTGTCGAGACTTGCCCACCCGGCCGCCTGCAGATGCATTGGGACCAGCTGGCACTGGGCCCGGGGCTGCCACCGCGACTGATGCCGCTTCCGCGAGAGGCCTCAGGCGAGTGAGTGATAATGGCCGGGCGCATGATGCATGACCGCCGTGCGCGCACCGTGGTGCTGGGAGCGGCTCGCGCTGCCGTGAAGCTTACTTTCCCTCGGTAGCGTCCAGGCCGGGCGATCTCGATCGAAGCAGGGGCCGTGTGCGAGCGGGAAGGGGGCCCTCTGCCGGCAGACCGGGGCCGATGGCATCAGTCCGTCGCCTGCGTCTTCTTCCGGCCTGTGCGTTCGCACCCAGCGCGCCCACGTGGGCGGGAGGGCTTCTGTGCAGCTGTGTGCGCGTGAGCGCGCGAGGCACTGGCCCCGTAGTACTTACGATGCGTCGGCGATATGTCTGCGTGCATCAGAGGAGAGGCACCGTGGAAGCGTCGCTTGAAGCTGGGGCTGGGGGCGCGGACAATGTCGCACAGAATGTCGCTGAGCCGCTGAGAAACTTGCGGGTAAGGTCCCTCTTCTGCGACGCCTTCGCAGCGACGGCGGTGAACCCTATCGTCACGGGGAGCACGATTCGCGTCCAGGAAAGCAATCGCATTGCTGTCCTCGTCCGCCTTCGCGCGCGCTCGACGACCCGGCGGGTGGACCTGCGAGTGACGACGATAACGGGGCCTGTTGCGAGCAGCGATTCCCTTGCGCATGGCACGATGCGTCCATCAAGCTTTCTGCACTGAATCCAGGAGAACGCGAACCCGCCAGCGCGGCGGTCCGCCACACCGGCAGTGGGAACCAGCCCCCCGATACCGCTGTGCTGCGAAGGGCCGCAGGATGAGTGCTGCGAGCGCGCCGCGCCTCCTGGCGTGCTTCGCGCCCGCCGGGGACTGTATGCACTGCCAGACGGTGACGTCCTGCGGACACGCTCAATGGAACGAGGCGGGCGGCCGTCGGAGCGTGTAGAACACCCGCTTCGAGGGGTTAGGCTATAGCGGGTTGCGCAGCAGCGGCGGCTCGGACGCACCCTTGGTCGCAACCGCGCGTCGCTCGCTATATGTGACCCTGTTCTGTTCTTGCGGTGACTTCTGTAGGGAACCCCGGTCTTCTGGCCAGCGCTGGTGATCATGCGGGTGCATCGTGCAGCGGGGCCGGTATTCCATTTCGGCAACTCCGACTGTGTTTCAACAGCCCCCGCCAGGAAGGTTGAGTCCCGATATGCAGAACATGAGGGCTGCGAGTAGCGGCATGTTCCTGTAAAGCTCGATAAGAGATGATGGGGCCATAACACATCTGATAGACAGGAAGGAACGGCGGTCTACGTTACCTGCACACCATACTGCATCGTACCGGTAATTCCTGCCGGACATGATGCCGTGTGGCCAGAAGTTCATAGACTACATTTGGATACCGTGCGTCCAAGTAGAGATGCTGCCTTGTCGACCCGTTGAGCAAGATGGGAGGGCGGAGGTGCGTTACGAACATACCGTTTTAGTCCGCCCGCCTTCGCCGGAGCAAAATAGCCCTACAGATCACGAAGTGAGTGCAAAGCAGCGTAGAAGCGCCGCGCGGTTCACGAGGCACTGGGCCGCACATACCTGTTCTTGCGATCCCTCGGCCGTGCGCGCGTGGGTGCGCGATACGTATGTATGATGCCCACATTCATTTCCGTGTGCGGATCCCCTCGCGAACCGCGTCATTTTGGCTCTGTGTCATAGAGAGGACGGGGGTGCGCCGTATTCAAAGCGGCCGACCGTGGCAGGTGCGCACCGGGCAGACAATCCGACATGCGCCAGAATGACCCCCGTCCGCGTCGTCATCGCACGTCTAGCCTGCGAAGCGCTGCTGGGCAGAACGTCGTGAGCGAACGGCGAGAACGCCCCCCTCCTCGCGAGGGCAGTCGTACGTACGCACCGTTCCGTCGCGCGCATGACGCTGCCCGTCTCGCGTTCCGATCGTACCGGCATCTGTACCCGCGTGGAATGCGTGCCCCAGCGCAGCGGGCTGGGATCCTGCTCGCGCTGGGAGCGCCGATCTGGCGGCGGCGCGCTGGGGCATTATTACCGCGAAGCTTCGCCCCCTCGCCGTCGTGTGGCGAAGAGAAGGGCGAAAACTCCGAAGATGACGCCCGGGTGTCAAGCCCAGCTACGGCACTCGCAGCAGGTCGGCGCGTTCCGAGTCCGAAATTGCAAGGTTGCTGAGCCCCGGACGCCGGGAAGCAGCCCACGTCGGACAAGCCACAATCACGACGCAGCAGGCCACGGGACGCACCCCGGAGGCGGCCGAGTCGGCAAGAACCCTGCGGGTGGAGATGAGGCGGTAGACTGGAATGAAGTTGTGCACTATCCTGGCCGACGAGACCCTGGGGCGATTGAGTGTACACAGAACATTTACCGTGAGTTAGGCTCTACTCATTGGATCAGGGAGCGCTACGATGTATCGGAAGTGGCGCGCATTCACTAGTGGCTCCCATGGTAGTCGGACCCATCGCACCTAAACAGACATGTTATCGAGCAGCGGGTACTGTATCATGACATTTGAACGTACCTCGACTGATGTTTCCCCGCACCCTCTGATCCCGACAGGGTACGAGCAACACCGAAACTCAAGCGTACGCCACATAACGCACAGCCCGACAAGAACTCACCCGGTCCGACGACCATATCCTTCACGTTCGAGTTGTGCTTGCAGGTGTGACAGCTGAATGCGAAATTGGAACGGATACTAATACACGTGCGTGATACATAGCGAGAGCCCTGGAGAAAGAAAACACGGTGAATACAGTACACCCCTCTTCGCGCGCGACAGCAGGGTCCTCCGAACCAATACGGTGCCCGGCCGTCGACTCTACACCCCGGGCTTTCACGGTCCGTTCTGCGAGAAGCCAAGTCCGCGAACCACGTACCGTCTAGCAACCCCAAGACTTCAAGTTCCATCCTTCCCCCCACTTCCCACCTCCCGCCACACGATCCGCTTATCCACAACAGGTCCACTTCCCGTCACGTTCAAACCACACCTTGCCCTTGGGCAGGATGATGGTCCGCAGAGTCGGACATGCCTTCCCCCACGTCCGTGCAATTTCGCCCTCGTCCTCTATCGATGCTGAGCCAGCGGCCATGAACGTCAAATAACGCAGGTCTGAAAACCTCGCCAGCGTCGGCCCGGAATCTTGCAGCGTCGCCTGCGCCGTAACCGCATCAGTACAATCACGTCATGCACACGTATTGTCAAATAACCCAAGCGCGCGGTCCCCGGGCCAGCGCGCAGGGGCCGTGCGCATAGCACAGACCCGCATACGCCGAAAGAAGAATGAGGGACACTCACCCTGTCGAACATCGCCATAAGCACGACGACGTGCAGCGCCTCGAGCTCCGGGAGCCGGTTCGCGATCTCGGGGAGGAGCACGTTCGGCGGGGTGTTGTCGAGCGACATGATGGTGAGGCGCTTGATGGGCCGGCTCGAGAGCATGAGCGCGTCGAGCGGCAGGAAGGCGTCCTCGATGAACATCGAGAGCGAGATGCCCTCGACCGGGCGCCCGCGCACGACGCTCGAGATGACCGCGGGCCCGGCGTGCACGGCGCGGAACATGCGCAGGCGCGGCATCGCGCCGTCGGAGAGCGTGAACGGCTGCTTCGTCTGGAAGCCGCGCAGGCAGAGCTCGACGAGCTCGGGCTGCGTCTCGAGCACCTCCGCCAGCTGCGGGTCGCAGCGGATGGACGTGCCGAGCGTGCGCAGGCGCGACTGGCAGCCGTGCAGCAGCCAGGCGAGGCTGTAGTGGTTGTCTTGTGGGGAGAGCTCGATGCTCAGGTGGCGGAGGGCGGAGAGATGGGAGAGCGTGGAGCGGAGGAGGCGGAAGAGGTTTGCGACGATGCGGTGGCTCGACCAGTCAATGCTGAGTTTGCGGACAAGGGCCGCATTTGCGGGTGTTGCACAGAGGACCTTCAGACATGCGATGCACCGGTTCATGGGTAGTTCTGGTATGATTCGGTAGAGGATGCGAGTGCCGATAGAGTTGAAGTGGCTGTTGACCCTCAGCACGGGTGGGAGCTCGCCCATCTCGAGCTCTTGAAAGATGAGGTCCTGTATTTCGACTGGGAAGGCCATTAGACGAAAGTAGCCGGCGTTCATTTTGCTGTCCTCTCTGCGTTTGTTCATGGTGGGTCCTGGGGTATCGAAGGCAGGGGAGCAGGCTGGGAGCGGGGAAGAAAGGGAGCGATAAGCGGGCGATGGTCGACGTCGTCCAGCGCAAAGTCGAGGACAAGAGAAGTGGCTTAAAGTCACGCCTACACCAGACGCCAATTTAGGTAGTCACAGTAGGAACGCACCTCCACAGAATCAGAGGTGTTGGGGCGCCGCCAGTACAACTTATATTCCACGTCTAACCTCTTCCCCTCGTTAAAAGATCTTCTTGTGGCTCGGGTAGTGCCACATTTTCAATTCTCCGACAGAGCGAGTCTTGTGCGCGCGGTGCTTTCTCTTGGCGTTGCCCAGTAAGGTACTCGGCGATTCCACTCACCATCTGCTCTGAGCAGGAGACCATGCTTGTACAGCCCAGTAACTCGCAGTATATACTCCGATTTAACAAGTGTTGCCTGGATAGTGGCATATGTCCGCGTTGGACGACTGGTTGCACGCATGGTCGCCTCCATTGTTCAGTGTCCGCCACGCTGAGGTTCATATACCCATCCCATCCCAATACTTACCCGTCGGGAAGAATAGCATAGCGCACATGTCGCGTCCTTGCCACCCTGATCAAAACCGATACGCCCAGGACATCCATATGATCTCCCCGAGTCTCCGCGCGATCGCAACTCTCACCACGGACACCGCGGTGTCTGCGATCGTGTGCCACCGCAGCCACTCCAGCAAGTACTTGTAGCGAATGTATCTCCATTCCTGACCTGGCGGCGTCGCGTGAGCTGTTGAATATGCTTGGAAGACTGTCAGTATGTAGCATGTGTCGCTGAGAGAGGCAAGAACAGAGCACTATGCTGCTCAGGTAGGTCACGCAGCGCCGTCATCCAGCGAAAGCCACCAACGCCGCAGGCGTATCCAGGTAGCGAGCTCCAACATCTGTCCAGGGAGATAGAGGTACATTATGTGATTATAGGTAAAGCAGCGGGTATGTGAACATTGCCTCTAGTATATGCTATCCGTCGCCAAAAGCCCCAGCAGTCTCAGGCGCGCGCCGCCTATGAGGTCTTCACCTTCTTCCCGGTGAACGTGTACGCCTCGACCTCCGCCTCCGCGCGCAGGCCCTCCTGCTCCGCCTCCGCGATCATCTTGCGCTCCATCTTCTCGAACTCCGCGGGGGAGAGGTTCAGCTTCTTCATCTTCGTAATGCGCGCGCGGTACGCCCGGTACTTGTCGTCCGTGCCGAACAGGCGGTCGCACCACCGGAAGGACGTCGAGAAGTTGTTCACGAACGCCATGTGGTGGAAGTCGTGGTGCTCGGCTCCGGACCAGAATGGCAGGATGTGCTGCAGCGACCAGGGGAAGTCTATGGAGGGAGGAGCCGTCAGCATACCATGCGTGGGGGCGATTAGCCTGATACATACCGTAGCCAGAGTGCGCATCGACGGCCTGGAAGAGACGGAGCGTAATCCAGATGTAGACGGTGACGATATGGAGATCCTGGCGGAACCAGCAGTAAAGCAGGGGGCCGGCGACAGTGCCCGTGCCGAGGATCATGACTTCCGCGGGGTGCGCGTACTCGGCAGCAAGACCGAACGGCGCCGAGTATTTGTGGTGGATCTTGTGAATGTGCTTGTAGAGCGGGCCCCAGTGCAGCGCTTGATGCGCGAAGAAGTGAAACATGTCCTCGAAGACGAAGAACAGTGCGACCTGGGGGGCCAGCTGGCGCAAGCTGGGGAAGGGCACCTGCCATGTGGACATGCCACATGCCTCAGCGAGGGGGTGGAAGAGCCAGATCTGGGAGCAAGGGTCAGCACGCGCCGACATGAGGTATCAGGTTGCAAGTACACGTACCACCGGGAGTTCGACCATGAAATGCGAGAACAGAACCTGCTTGGTGCATTCCCACTGCTCCTTTGCGGTCGGAACCTTGTTGGGCTGCAACTTCCATTGCCTGAAGAACGGGATCGCGTCGACGATGATCCAGGGGATGCAGCGCCCAAAGTACACGACCTAAAGTAGCTTAGTCGGCGCACGTCCACCAGCGCGCCAAGAAAACGCGGACGCACCTCATGCAGCAGGAAACTCGCCAGGCCAGTCGCGAGGATGGGATTTCCGAGCCACAGATACCAGTTCACCCACTGGGTCTCGAACCAGTTGAGCGAGGACATGTCCGTGTTCGCGTAGAGCATGGCCGCGGTGGGGTGCCCCGGCATGGCCGTCGAGTTCATGATGGCGGTCGTCTGTGCGTGGGCGTGCGCGTCGGCGTTTGTCTTGTTCGTGGCCTGTGTGCGGGAAATGGGAGGACGGACGAGAGGCAAGAGACAACCGGCGTGGCGACTGGGAGGAGGCCGTGGGCGTTTTTATGACCTGTTTCTCAGATTTTTCGACGGCGCCAGCGGTTGTCGTACGACCCGGCTAAATGGACCCTGCCATTTTGCGCACGTGGCTTTCCCCGCCTAGGGCTCCCGCCCCCACAGTCTCGCTCCTCTGGCCTGCTCCAGCCGTCACTCGACCTCTGGTCCTCCGCCTCGTCGACCTCGCAATGAATTCCGGGTGGCGAGACTGCACAAGTCGTCAGAGGAATACGGAAATCGCGGCCTTTTCATTCGCAGATTCAACGCTGAAATCGTCTGATGCGCGCACGCGTTGAGTAAGCGCTCATATTCTATGACAAATCCGGAAAGCCTCAGATGTCCCGCTCCTCCGTGCACACAAGTCGACTGCGCAAACAAATGAACAACAAGTACCAGAACATTAGTTTCCGCGCGTGGCCAGCCATGCGGCCGTGGCCGTGGCCGCAGCTGGCTGCAAGCGAGGCGGCCACGGAGGGCCACGGCCACGGGAAAGTGTAAAAAAATGCAACTTTTTTTAAGGTTGGCCGCATACACGGCCCTCCTCATGTGACGATCTGTGACATTGCCGTTACGAGCAGTGACCTGTGGGGTTAACTTAGTGCAAGGCATGCCATGCGGGAAAGCATCATGCAGAAATGCGAGATGGTGCTCTTGATATGTACAGACTCCTTCAGATTATTCCCAGTGGGGTTGGTGTGGTGTATGCATGTTTTTACGAGGCAGACTCCTCGGCGGCAGCCGTCGGGCAAGCCGCCAGATAGCTCGTACGTTAGGGTACTTCCAGGTGGGCGATAGGCACTGTAAAGCATCCGTTTTATCATACTGCTTCCATTTCATCATCGCCGCATGTTATTTTTCGACCAACGCTCGTCGTACACTGCGTGTCTCACCGTTCTTGCTCGCGGCCAGCGCTCGGCGCTAATCGCGAGTCACCCCATAGCGCACGTACTTACGGTGTAAAACTATCTTGAATTCAGGATCACCGTCTCGCTGCTTCAACCGACCGATTTTTTGTGCGTATTGCGATTCCAGACAAAAAATCGGTCGTCGCAAAGGGATCGGGCAGACCCTTGAATTCAAGATAGTTTTACAATGGTCGTCACGTCCCTTGGGCGCTCCGCCCACGTGATGAGGAGGTCCGTGTATGCGGCCAACCTTACACTTCGTGGCCGCGGCCGTGGCCGTGGGATAGCGCGCCTGGCGGTGTAAATCAGTGATTGAGCGCCAGCTAGGAGGGCGTCTAGATCAAAGTAAGGCAAACTGCCCGTAAATACACTCCCCGGGCCAATCAACAAGGCTCGTTCAATCTAATTGTAAGTAATCTTAGCGAGAACTCCCAAATCGGGGGCGGGAGGGGGCCAGAGGGGGACGATTCCCGCCGGGCTGCCGGGCGCCTGAGCGGCCACAGGAAATTAACATTTTTGGCAGGCGTCTACGGCCAGCCACGGCCATATGGCTGGCCGCGCGCGGAAACTAATGTTCTGAGTTCTCAGCAGGGTCATGTCTGTCCCTACACGCCACCCCAGCGAGAAGTTGGACTCAGTTGGACCCGCATATCCACAGCACTCATAAACATAGACGGGTACACAATTACACGCCTCACGCAGGAGGCAAGAACACCCCCCACAGCACACAACTGACCGCGCCCCAGATCACGCTCCACCCGACCCACCACCGCCCCCACGCCGGCCGCTCGACGAGGAGCCACGCCGCGGCCCAGTACGTCAGCGGCATCGACGCCGCCCCGCGCAGCACGATCTGTGTGTGCGACGCGAAGAGGAGCAGCAGGGACAGGATGAGCGCGTGGATGACGTGCGGCGCGATCGAGGGCGGGAGGAACGGCGACGTCGGGGTATCGGACGGCTTGGCACCAGGAGGACTCTGAGGGGAAATGAAGGCGTGGAGGCGGGGGAGGAGTGCGAGGCGGATGTAGCGCAGGGTGTAGTTGAAGAGCAGGATGAGCGGGGGTGCGCCGAGGAGGAAGTTTGGGATCTGCTGGGGGGTCCAGTATCGCAGGAAGCCGACGTTCCAGTACTTGGACTGCACGTAGGTGTAGATGGAGGGGGGGAAGGCGCTGCACCAGGATGCTGGGGAGATGGCCTCCACGCAGAAGAGGCGATAAGCGTAGTATTGGTAACCGATGAACGGCGCGAGGATGAGTGCGCATAGCGCGGCCGCATATAGTGTTCGGCCCACATGAATCTATTGCGATGTGCGTCAGCTCGCACACGCATTGTCAGTGCAATAATCACATACCTTTCTACTATCGAGAAAGGGATCTACTACGAGGCCCCATAGGACGAAGCCGCTCAGCAATATGCCGTTCGAGCGGAAGGTCGACGCGAGCACAAAAAAGCATGTTGCACGGAAATACTGCTTTTTGGCGCAGCACAACATCCCTACAAGGCGCACACCGTTTAGTGACGTTTTCGGCCTACACGCAACTACAACGTACCATGATACGAGAGCAAGGTGAAGAACGTCTCCGTGTACCCTACGATCCTCAGCGTAACAGGGCTGCTGGGGAGTAGCGACAGCAAAGAGGCAAGCAGCGCGATCGGGCGCGACCTGAACTGCAGCATCGTCAAGTCATACAGCGCATGCACAGAGAACACAGACAACGCCGAGCTATAGAAGGCATTGGATAGGATATCCTCCCAACCAGGCGCGCGTGGAGGCCAGCCAAAAACGGATCTTAAGTCGACAAGGCCACGCCAGACGCTGGTCACGCCAGGGAGGAACGCCCATTCGTGCTCGTATACGTATCCATCTTTGGCGATGTGAGCAAAATGGAATGCGTCCCATCGCAGCACTACGGACGCTAGGGTGTGGCGGAGCGAGAAGTGTGGCGGAGGCGGCAAGAGAATATGTGGTGATGCATCGAAGAGCGGACATTTCGAGGATAGAACAGTCAGGAAGAATGTAAGCAGGTTGGCGGCGACAGAGAGTGCGAGCAGACGTCCATGATCAGTCCAAGCCAGCGAGACGGCCTTCGCCTTGATAGTAGTGAGTCGCGATGACATGCTGGCGGTGGCGGCTACACTCGCCTCCACGGTCCTGTATGAGTGTCAGCATCTAGCCAGCTCTGTTGGACATTGAGTCACTCACAAAGCTAGCGAGTATAGTGAACGATGCCTAGTTCACAGTGCAAGCTGGATTCTCAAGACCGCAAACTGACATCGTGGTGCGGTGTCAAGATGTGATTGCCTTTCGTTGCGACACACTGCGGATGCTCTCGAGGGTTTCGTCTCCAGGACCACGAATTGCGAGTAATTTCGCGTATTCATCATGGAATACCATGGATCCTGACCCTCTCGATCATTAAACAAGAGTAGAATGAATGAATGACAGGCAGAAACAGCCTGCAAAAAGAGATCAAAAAGTGGTTCGACCCGGGCTCGAACCGGAGACCTCCTGTGCGCCACAATTTACGCCCGTTAGAGCCCGGGTCACCCCGGACGCTTGCAATGTGAGACAGACGTGATAACCAACTACACCATCGAACCGATGAAAGCGGTTGATGACGCGGTTTCTCGACGGCGGGCTTATACATGCGATATAAGTACGGGCAACTTACTCAACCTCAACGATCCTTGCAACCAGCAGCATCTCAGCTATATCCTCCATCCTACCTCAGAGCCTCAGCGTTCCGTTGTCTTTTGGCTCGAAAGGCCCTCTGCGGTGGGATCCTATGCTTAAGCTGAGCCAGACGAAGCTGTTAATCATATGTCAGCTTCGTCTGTGACTTTCTAGTAATGGCCGCCCAGTCAAGTTCCCCCGGGTGTGCGGCAAATGCTAGCGGAATGGTATGCACGTCGTTACTGATGAACCTGGAATCGACTGACCTTTGGATAAATTCTTGCCGTCCATAGCTTCAAGTTGGTCAATGCATACGGAAGACTAATAGACGTCAATTGTCCTCAGCTACATGGGCATACACTCGTCGACATCCATCATCAAAGGCATACTAATGTACATGCGTAAGAGACCGTGAACATATCGACGACATCTTATCATACAGTGTGCCATGAAAGCAGTGACGTTCAGTAAAAGCCTGCCCGGTCCCAACTACCCTCCGCCTGACCCTCCTTCATCCAACCGAGCCGGTCAGCGGAGAGGCTTGCGACGCGGATGAACAGAGTCCCATCAATGGCTTCCGCGCCCTCGAGGCCAGTGCCCGCCAGGTATCCGGCATCGCGCGCCCCGTACTCGGTCGCATTGTGCAGGAGCGCGCGCTGCAGCTTGGAGATGTGCTGGTCCGGGTGAGTGAGCGTCGTCTGGATAATCGGCAGCCACGCGTTCGGCGCGGCGTCGTCTGGCGTGAGGGTCCCCTTCGCCGCAGTCGCGGTTCCTGCGCCTGTAGTTGGCGGCGTCGGGGTGGCGGACGTTCCCGCGTAGAATTCGCGGATGGGGAGCGTGGCGCGTCCTTGGGAGATCCACCAAACGAGAGTGTTGGCGAAGAACGCCTGCAGGAGAATCACAGAGGACCGAGGGGAGAGGTAGGCGACGATGGACGGTAGGAAGAGCGAGGAGGTAACAAGGTGCATGCTGAACATTCCATATCAGTGTTAGGCGCAGGCGCAAAGCTTCGCAAGACTCACTAGAAGAAATCCGCGTTGAACGTCTTGCTGGGGGACCTGTGGCGTGCGCCCCAACCTCCCACGCCGTATATGAGAGAGCTCGCCCAGGCGAGCTCTTCGATCTTCTTCGAGATGGCCTCCGAAGTCGCGCCCTCGCCCTCAAGGTCCGCCACCCACTCGGCAGCGAGAACCGCTAGAGCCTCGCCCACACGGTCGGTCGCGCGTTCGAAGCCGGAAATCTCATTATCCGTGGGTATCCCGAGGTTTTTGGCAGAGAACTTGTCGTCTGCCAACACGCGAGCGAGAATGGTGAGTGCATGGACGCCCGGCTTTGCCCCTTCGGTGGAGCCACTCTTCTGAGACTGCTTCGTGAGAGAGAGCGAGGGCAGTAGAGCGGTGAGGCGCGAAACGGCGTCTGTACTGGCGTTCTTCTGGAAGAGGGACCCCGGTACGAGGACGTCGCCGTGGAATGGGTGGACGGCCGTTTGGGCGAGACCTACCATCCAGGCAAGCGGTAAGTACCATACTTGATATCAGGAGTGCCGAACAAGTCACCTTCGGCGACCAATCCCAGGAGCCCGAACTCCAGGCCGTTTCCGGTGTGGATGAGAGGATGCACAAGGGCTGAGAAGAAGCGGACGAGCATCTTCGGCTCCCCTTCGATTCCGGCGCCGCCCACATTCGCCTTGGCCGAGAAGAGGTATTCCTCGAGAACCTCAGTGATGTCCTTCTCACGCAGGGCCTTCCGGAAATACTCTAGGTACGTGGTGTAGAACCTGGAATAACATAACAATGATTAGCGCGGCACAGTAACGCACAAGGGAGGATGGATACGCACTCCCGCTTCCCGAGATGCTTCCAGAACGTCTTGTCGTCGACCTGTTCGGGGGACTCGAACGCGGGGAGCATGTAACTGGCGTGCGCCTGGTACGCGGCGTCGATCAGCGCACCTCCCGCGCCCATGGCGTAGATCGCCACGAGGTGGTGCGAAATATGGCTAGGATCGTCGCGTCAGTCGGTGGCGCGGCGTGGGACCCGTCCCTCGGGCACAGCAACGCTTACTTGTGGAAGCCGCGGTCGTTGAAGAACGCGTGCCACTTCACGTGGTTGGCCTCTAGAGCCTGCACCAGCGCGGTGCTCGACGCGTGGGTCACGCCCGGGAGGCGGACGGGGCCCTGCGGCGGCGCGGCGGACGGCAGCGGGAAGAGGGCGTTGATGTCGGCTTTGGTAGACGTCATGGCTGTTGGCAGTGGATGAGGAGAAGACTCTGTGCTGGCTATGCAGACACCCCTCTGGCATCCAGAGTGGCATACATAAGTACTGTGGCGGTATGCGCTACGGACGCGAAGTCCCCGCGCTCCATGAGAGCCCGCTCCAATCGCAGGTGATGGGTATGTACTGCGCCTTATGCAGCCTAGAGCGTCCCGTGAGACAACGCTGAATACGCCTGCGGCGGAACGTGACGTGGGGCCTTAGCTGCGTGGGCACGAGGGGTCGGAATTTGAGTAAGCATTCTCACTAGGAAGCGCGACTCCAGCTCTTCTTGGAAGGTGCGCGACCAGACCGCGGCATCCTGTCATGAGAAGAGCAGTACGTTGGCAGGTCGGGGTGTGCGCGGCCCAACGGCAGACGGTGCAGGTAGTGGATGCACTAGACAAGACTCGCGGCAGGATCTCGCACCCGTGTCAAGCACCATCAGTAGGCACCGCATGACTTCAACGCCAAGTGCGGCGCCTACAGCACCTGCGCGCCCACAGCGGACTGCGGGGACCGATAGGATCGGACGTAGCATGTTGTTGTTTATGGTATACACATTTCCATCCCTGCGCTAGTTGGTACATGTCAAAAAGGACTAGTACTACGACGCCGTCTATGAAGATACAAAAAAGAAACATGATAACGCTGGTCAACGGCCGATCGACCGGCGTAACTCACTACGCCGATGAACCGTCCGCCGCGTATGGAGGCGATCGGCCCAGAAAATCGCGTCGACCCTCGACGTCCGCCCCTTATACAGTCATTTCGCGTACACTCGCCTTCTTCATGCTCTCCGTGTCCACGTCGCTCCCATCGACGTAGGCCGGGGGCATGGAGTCCGGCAGCTCGGTGAACGTGCCGAACACGTCGCGGTCGTCCACCGAACCCAGATCAGCGGGTGGGAACGCCTTGCTGAGCCCGTAGTGGATGACCGCGCTCAGTGTGAAGCCGAGCGGCCACGCGAGGTCGTACATTTGCGTCCACGACTCGGACACACCAATCGGGCTCGGCGATACGGCGTTGATGAAGCCGGCTGCGGGGGGCCCACGTCAGTCTACGGCGAGGCACATCGAGGGGCTGACAGGCTTACGCATGAGCGGCCAGACGCCGAAGGTCCACGAGACGACGGCGCGGAAGTTGACGCCATGCGTGAAGTAGTAGATCGACCCGGAGTTGGGCATGTACAGGTGCGACAGCCGCAGCTTCGACTTTCGAACGAGCAGGTAGTCGGTTACCATCACGCCCTGAGTATCCATCAGCCTCACATACTGACAGCGAACGCGGAGGATGAACATACCGTCAACGGCCCGAGGAATACCGAGAACGAGCTGAGCACCGTGAGGAAAACGCTCGCGCCGGTGAGCAGCTTCCAAGGGCAGATAACGAGGCCGAGGATTGCGGTGATAAACGAGCCCCTGGCGTCATCGTTAGCAGGTCAACACATACGCTCTCTCAGAACGTAACTCACCTCCGGATGTTGAGGTACTTCGGGAACAATCCAGACATGTCGATGCCGCCTGACGTGGCATTGCCAGGGACATTGATACCGAGCTGCGAAATGACGAACGCGACTCCCGCGAAGAAGCACGCGGCGCGCGCTCCAGGGCCGCCGTGAGTCTGAATGACGGGCAAAAGGTCGTACGGCGCCCACAGGAGCCCCTCGTCGGGGTAGAAGCCTGCGGCACAGCTCGTGACGACGATACCAAACACGGCGATGATGATGGAGCTGAGGGGGACGATGAGCAGCTGGCTGAGGATCTGCGCGCGCGGGTACGACGCGAAGCGGGTGTAATCGCTCTGGTTAAGGATACCGGCGGAGATACCACCGATGGTAGAGCTAATGCCGTACGCCATCGCCCATCCCAGCTTCGCGCCGCTGCCAAGGGGTTCGACACCGCTAAGCTGGCTGGGTTCGCTGAGGAGGGGGCCGCCGCCGCCCTCTTTTGCGAGCGCCCATACGAACATGGTGAACGTGGTGATCGTGATGATGACGCTGCCGACGAGGAAGGGCTTCCGGAAGAACTCTGGGGGAACGAGGAGGAGCGGTAGCGAGATGAAGGCAAAGATGAGCGTGCCAATGAGGTCGTTCAGCCTGCAGAACATGTGAGCTTTGACAACGCAGTGATGAATACAGAATAAGACGCACTCGATGCCAGCACTCTCGGGAAGAGTGTTGCGCAAGTTGTAGAAGCTGGGCCACAAAGCACCGATCACCACCTTGACCTAAAACAACGCGTAAGTAAATTCGCCCTTCCGCGCTAGCGCTGGTAGCTGCAACTCACGCTCTTTCCTCCGCTATTGAACGAAGAGCGATCAGTCTCGTGATATCAGGACGATAAAATTGTACGCACAACACAAGCTGCACTCCGTACCACACAATCGAGAGGAGGATACGCATCAGCAGCGGGAAGAAGCTGCCGTAGGTACCCCATACGAAGCGGTTGTAGACGGGGAAGCCGACGTGCCATTCAGCCCCGACGAAGCCGTTGCCCACCACAGCGCACGCGACGATGAGGTTGCCGATGATGACGGAGACCATCGCCTGCCAGACATTGAGGCCGATCCCGAGGAGACTGGACGCCGTCGTCCAACCGCTGATGTTGAAGCCGGTCAGCAGCCAGTAGCCGACGAACGACCAGGAACCCCATGTTCGGCGGGAGGGCGGCAGAGGAACGATGTCGCGGTTGATCCACGCGGAGGCTTGACCCTCGAGCGCGTTCTTTCCCTTGACTTCGAAGCGCTTGGAGAAGCTGGACATCTTGAGTGAGCTCTGCGTGATCGTGAGGCCCGACCATTTCGAAGGCGAAAAATCGCAGTATATATGTGGCCCAGCTGATAAGCGGAAGAAGACGAGGGGGAAGCTTTGAAGAGAGATAACGATACCGTGACCGCCACTCAGCCACCGACTGGCCTTTATCCGGACCGGCGGGCGAGGTTTGGCGAGCGCGAGTCTCGGGGCGATAGGATTCGCCCCTGTGGGTCCCTGCGTAACATTTAACTTCCGGCGATATTACGCAGCCCAGGCCACCGGATGAGTCGGAGTACTGTCGGAGTCAAGTCATCGAGCGGTCGGTGGAAAGCAAGCTGCGCCTACTGGTATGATATCGCCGTGACCGCAGGAGCTCAGCTGACCGATGTTAGCCACTCGGGAAGAGCCCAGCTGGCGGTGCACATTGGTCACAAATATTTGAACACGGTAGAGCCGGGAAGACGAACACGAGTGCGGGATGAACTTCTGCTGGCAAATCGAGATCGAGATCTGACGAGCCTGCGGCTGCCGCAGATAAGTAGCAGCACAGCCACAAAACACGCCCCCGTCCAGGAACCACCCCGGCCCTGCGATCGGCGATCGTATATACAGTCGATGCCGCGTCCGTGAACATTGAACCACCGTCGCACTTTTTTTCATATCGCACCCCGGGAGGGCCGCAAAGCCGGGATGCAAACCACTTGAAGCCAATTGACGTAGACTAACCTTCATAGGCAGCGACTCGGGCTTGCGGGCGTGCTCATCTACCGACGGGTGCCTTACTCCGGCCGAGGTTCAGACGATAGGCTTCCCGGACGGCACGGACATGAACTTGGCATATAGCAGTGCCAAGACACTCTATGTGCAGCGTGGTTAGCAGATTAGACTTTGGCCGGAATGGGAGCACGTACTTGGTGTGTATTGAACTGCGATGGCAAAAAAAACTCGCAGCCGACGCAATTCTGTAGTGTGTGTCTTAGCGTACATGCACCCGTATCCTTATCTGAGCAGCGTTACCCTGTACTCCTAGTTCGATTATCAGTACGTTCACCGGCAGTCGAGCAATATGCCTCTAACGCACCTCGGTGCGGTGTAAAGCACCCCAAGACTGGCAGCAGCGGTAACTTGCCATGCAGTTCTGTCAGACAGGACGTGATTCCAGTCGTGTATGAGTGTATTGATATTTGTTTAACAACTGCAAGTGCCTGTATCTGGTAAGTGGAGGCAGGCCGGTGGCCCAGCGGCTGCATAATTTCAAGTTACGGGGAAAGCCGCACACTCATGTCCCAGGCACTCAGCTGAGTGAATTGATCGCGATGAGTTTAGTATGCACAAAGGCCAGTAGAGGCATACGTACCTCCAGCCGGCCTTCACGATCATGGATGTTCAAGGCAAGATGATCACTTTGAAGTTTGCGTGAATCTGCGACGACGACGATGGGTGTTTTTAGTCTAGTACCAAAGTATATACTTAGTAACACAACCGCTTATTCTAATCCGATATGGTGTAGTGGCTAACATTATCGCCTCTCACGCGATAGCCCGGGGTTCGATTCCCCGTGTCGGAATAGTTTTGGACTCTCCCCGTAAGAGCGGCCGCGTAGCTCAAGATGACTGCCCTCTGTTCTGTTGGACATTGTCCAGGATCCTATACTCGTACATATGATACAACTATCGGACAGTACATAGGAATCGCCGCTTCACTACTACTCGTGGAAGAACCCATCGAAATCCCACTCCTCTCTCTCCTGGCCCTCCCGCATCCAACCCAGCCTCTGCTGGGCCAGCCCCGCGACGCGAATGAACAACGACCCATCGAGCCTCTCGATACCGTCCAGCTCCACACCCAGCTTCTTGAAGTGCCCAGCCGGCGTCGCCCCGTACAGCGAGTCAAAGTGCGCGAGCGACCGCTGCAGCTTGCACAGGTGGTCGTCCGGGTGCTCGAGCGTGCTCTGCGCGATCGCGAGCCACGCGCTGGGAGTGCGGTTGTCCGCCGTGAGCGTCCCGTCTGCAGGCTTGTTGTGCGGGAGCGAGTCTGCGGGCGGGGCGGGGGCGACGGGGACGGCGTCGAAGAAGTCCGCGACGGGCAGCGCGGGGCTGCCGCGCGCGACGTAGAGCGCGAGCGTGTTGAGGAGGTAGGTGCGCAGGAGGATGGCGGTGGACGTCGGCGAGAGGTACGCGACGATCGAGGGCAAGAATAGACTCGAATTGACGAGGTGCAAGCTGGGGGTCCGCTGTAAGTCACGGCGTCGTGCGCGCACGCGGAAGACACTCACAAGAAGAAATCGGCGTTGAACTTCCCTGTCCTGGACTTCGTGCGGCCGCCCCAGCCGGCGATCCCAAAGAGGACGACGTTCGTCCAGAATATTTCCTCGATCTTGGCCGCGACCTCGGCCGCGTTCGTGCCGTCGACCGTCCACTCCTTCGCGATCTCCGCGAGCTCCTCGCCGCGGAGGTGCAGGACGCGCTCGAGAGATGTGTCCTCCTCGCTCTCCACGGGCGGGGGAAGCTTGATGTTTTTGAAAGAGAAATGGTCGTCGCGCATGAGACGCGCCACGAGCGTCAGGGCGTGCACGCTCTTCGACGAGGTCTTCCAAGGGACGGGCTGCACGGCACGCTGGACTTGACCGATTACGAAGGACGGGAAGAACGATGAGAGCCGAGACGCGGTCGCGTTCGCCGCGTCGGTCGCCGCCGCCCCGACATACTGCATCAGCGTCGGTGGAGTCGCCGCAGGTGCCAATGGACCGTGTACAGCGGTCTCAGCGAGCCCTGTACGATCATAACATCGTAAGTCAGCGCCGTATGCGACTACAATGTCGCGACCGCTGACCTTCGGCGAGCTGACCAAGGAGGCCGAACTCACACCCGTAGCCAGTGTGGATCAGGGGGTGCAGAAGGCCAGCGAGGAAGCGATTTGCCATTTGCATAGGTTCCCTGCCCGGCTTCGGCGGCTCGATGTTGGCCTTGGGCGAGAATATGAATTCCTCGATGACCGCGGCAGCGCCCTTGTCTAGGAGCTCGTCAGAGAAGAATTTCAGGTAGGCGTTGTAGTAGCTATCAGGATGCGCGTGAGCATCTCAGGGGCACGCGTGAATGGGGACATATGGCGTGTGCTCACTCCTCGTCGGCCAGGTGCTCGTGGAAGTTGTCGCGCGTGATTTTTCCGGGGGATTCGTATGCGCGACGCTGGTACGATGTATGCGTCGCATACGCCGCCTTGATATTGTCTCCATTCGCACCAAGGTGGTACAAGGCAAGGAGATGGTGGCTCGCATGACTGACAGTGCAAGTTAGCAATGCACGTCTCACGGAGCGCACCCACCAACGTACTTGTGGAAATGCTTCTCGTTGAAGAAGATGTGCCACTTGACGTGGTTGTCTCTCAGGGTCTCCAGCAGCGTCGCGGTGGACTCGGGTGTGACGCCTGGGAACCGCTTCGGCGCCTGTGCCGAGGGGGAATGCGATGGGATGGTGTACAACTTGTCAAGCTTGGCGTGGTCGAACGCCGCTGCACGGTGCGTCTCCGCCATGATGAGAGGTCTCTGCGGCGAGAGAGGCGGTATTCCGGTGCGTGAAAGGACGCTTCGTCTGAGCGCGACCATGGACCGTCCGCCTTATATACCCCCGATGACGTCAATCGGACAGGTGAGAGGCCACCTGAGCGGAAAGTTAGCGAGAAGGTTGTGCGTACTGTCTCAAATGCAGCGCGAAGTACACACGTTTGGACAACGGCCGGGTCTGGATGGCGGTCCAAGGGAATGGAAGATATGGCAGAGACAGGCAGAGACTCTTGTCCCTGGGACTCTATGCATATACCGGAGACCGGCGATTGGGTGGACCACTCAGTGGAGCATCGAGCCTCGGGATCACCACACCGTCGGCGCATACCCATGTAAGCATCCCAGCCAGCCGCGTAGCTTAATGCCATAGAATACCACCAGGGGTTGCCGCTATATGCTCGAACAACTCGGCGTTAATCGGCGGGTGTTGTCCAGCGTAACTCTAAGCAGCTCTTGAAGAGCCTTTGGGTTAGTTTCGAAGTCGTATACCACTCCATTATGATACCACTGGTGGCAATGGTTGCAATGATATACGAGGGATTAACGGCATGCGTGGTGTTGGCTGACTTGCAAGGTAAGTAGTTCATCGAAAGTCGGCTCGAAGTCTGCGTAGCATGAGATGCACACAGTTCTCCAAGATCTTGGACCAACATATGCTATTGGAGAGCATGCTTGGATGGCTCAGTTGGTTAGAGCGCAGGTCTCATATTTACGTATGACCACCACACGGTGGGTAATCCTGAGGTCATGAGTTCGATCCTCATTCCGAGCAACGTTTTTGTCTCTCCCCTTCCCATCATCCACGCTCAGGTCCTCCAAGTCGATGGCACCTCGAAACCCCTCACGGCTGGGATTGCTTTCAGTAGGCCAGGTCTCAGAGGAGCCTCTCGCAGAGAATGAGGGTATAAGCAGTGCATATTATATCTAAGTATACAATCATCGCAACGGCTCCAGCGTGCATTCAGCAGACCTAGAGGGTCAAGCCAAAATGAGGCCTATTACCGAGCTCTGTAGCCACCAGGTCCCATCGTGAAATCTTCGTAGCAAGTCGTGTCCAAGAATCCACAAGAATCCAGCCCGCCCCACTCGCTCAGCAGGCACAGCCCCCGCCCTCCGCCTCGTCCTGCTCCTGGTGGAGGTCAATGCTCCCGGGCATGTCGTCGTTGCCCGAGTCACGCCGCGCGCTCGCCTTCCCCGCACCCGCGCCTGCGCGCGGGGCGGCCTGCCACAGCTCGGGCGTGTCGATGATGCGCGCGACGACGTCGCGGAACGCGTCCTCGACGCCCACCGCGGTCTTCGCGGACGCCTCGATGAACAGCGCGCCCATGCGCGTCGCGAACGCCTGGCCCTCCGCCGTGGACACCTGTCGTGAGTACTCCTGCGTGGGAGGAGGCGTAACTGTTAGTTGAGGGAGGACAGGGGAAGGAGGGATTGGGACGCACCTTGTCAACTTTGTTGCCGACGATGATCTTGACGACGGAGCTGGAGACATATGTCTCGAGCTCGGAGAACCACCGCGGCAGCGCTTCGAAGGACTCGCGGTTCGCGACGTCGTAGACGAGGATGATGCCCTGGGCTCCACGGTAGTACGAGGAAGTGATGGTCCGAAAGCGTTCTTGGCCGGCAGTATCCTGCATGGGTACTCGTTCTCAGAAATTTCAGAAGTCGCTGAATGCGGAGAACGTACCCATATGCTCAGCTTGACCCGCTTGCTCTTCACCTCCATCTTGTGTACCTACCGGACGCGCAGACGTTAGCGTCACTCTTCCGCAGCCCAAATCAGGGCGGGCATCCGGGCATATTGCACCAGACAACGGTCAGTCAATAGGTACAGCTGCTTAGGAAACGATAGGGTGTTTCTCAGATCGCTCGCGTTGGAGTTCTTGTTTACCTGCGGAGCCCAACCAACAGGCGACACGCGTCGGGACACCCAAATGTGGCAGGTTTACGGCGCAGGGCTCCGACAGCGCTGGTGGGAGCAAAAGGCCTTGTTCCGACACATAGTAATCTCACCGACACGGCTTTTGTCCGGTGCCATATGCGGGGATGCTCGTCGTGAATACCGTACGGCTCACTCACCCGGAAGTCCACACCGATCGTCGCATTCGACTCATCCTCTGGCAACCACTGCTCGTCCGAGAAGCGTAGGAGGAGACTGCTCTTGCCGACGGAGGAGTTGCCGATAAGAAGGAGCTTGACGTTAATGGGCGCGCTCGGCTTGTCCTGTGTTTGCGACATTGTGGAGGTCGAGGGCTGTTGTGAGTCGAAGACGAGTGTATTTCTATTCCAGCAACGAATTAGAAGACGTTGGTGACTTGGTTAGAGAACAAGGTCGAGAATGGGTTGCTTGAGGCTGATGCCGGCTGGCAAGGAAGCAGGCGTCTGCTACAGAGACGGAAACAAGAGGTAGGTTGACAAGGCGAGATACTGGGGCGTATGAGGGACGTATGCAGCCCGCTGTAGGACTGGCAGGACGATGGTGGCTCGGGACAAGCTGCCATAATAAACGGCGCGTTCGTGGTGAGGCCGTAGGCGCCCGCCGCGCGCGTGACATCATCATATACGGCCTTGCTTCCAGGCCCAGGGCGCGCGCACACTTTCACGCGTACATGCAAATAAAATTAATGTCGAACGGCCTTGACGAGGGAGACGTTCGCATATACATACAAGAGATCTAAAGTAATGTTTCCGGGGGCGGGTCCTGGAGCTGCAGCGTGGCGCGCTTGACCTTGCGCGTGCGATCCGTCTCCAGGCGCGAGCGCAGGAAAAAAGATTCGTTGTATGCACCAGCCAGTTGGGCAGATGGAAGAGCACGCGTGCAACGTACGGCGCTTTTTGTTCGGCGAGCGATGGGGCGGGTGCTCGCTCTCATCGGAGGATCCGGATAGGACGGAGTGGATAGAAGAGCGGCGGTTCTTGAGTACTGTACAGGCCTTCGGGTCCTTAGCGCGAACGCGAACAATAGCGGCGAAATCTCCTTCTCCAAACTTCAAGCTCAAGCTTCACCTCCGTGCGTGGCGAGTCCAAGGGCTATAAGGTGTGCAAGTGAGTGAGTGCAAGATGGCCGCGAGTGATCAACAACAACAGGCGCCTACGACGCACAGGAGCAAACACAACAAGTACAGCCTGAGGGCGCTTTCTTCTCCAGCCTTTTCCTCCTCTCTCCTCCTGGTCCATCCTCGACCTCCTCGCTCAGAACGTTCTTCGTCTCTCGTCGGTTACTACGCATCTCAGCACATCTCTCGCAGGTATGAATATCTGCATGGTCGGCATCGGTCGGCTTTACCGTCGTTCTCTTTCCTGGACAGCAAGCTCACCTCACGGGTTAAGTCGCTCATGCGGCCCGCGGCGCGCACTAAATCGCGCATTTTTGCGGGTTCGTATGCTAAATACCGCGAAAACTATGCGGTGCCCTGTCGACGCTCAGCAAGCCCACATATATGGACGGCGCGTCCGCGGCGTGGTCACGGTGTCGGGGCCATAGACGCCCGTGGATTACAGGTGTGCTCGACGAGCTCTCGACGGAGAACTTCTCGATTGATCAATACGACGTGGTTCGACACCGCGAAACGCTGCCGGTGTGGGCTGTTGCATTCCGCAACACAGACGTGGCGTGTATGATGCAGCCCCACTGCGGGCCCCGCACGCGACGAACTCCTCGGGGTCGTACACACCTAGGCTCGTGAACCAGCCTCACGTTCGGAGGCGGATAGTACACACCGCGAACGTTGTGCATGCATTTTGCGAGCGCGGTCGACGTCGGCAGTGTCGTTGGTGCGCGAAGGTCAGCCGTGCGGCGGATGCCGCCTGGCGTGGATGCTGCGGTGGGGAGTGGCCGCTCCCATGATGTCCTCTTCGTCTGTCCTCGCGTTTGCTAGCTATTTTTTCTGAATTGTGCCCACCCACGTCAGCTCGTACGTGGGTACTAGTAGGCGGCGCCGTCACGATCAGTCTCGTCGTCGGGGCCGTCTACAAGCGCTCATTTCCACCCCCATCGAATGCAAGCATGAGCGAGGCCGGTTCGGAGACGTGCCTGCAAGCCCTCCCGGTGTCCTCGAGTGTGATAGCGTAAACATGGACCATATTTTGTAACATCCTGCCGAGGCCCATCGCGCCCTCCCCGTATCTTGCGTCTGCGGGGAAGACTCGAGTGTGCTCTGTTGCGGTCGGCCCTCCAGTGTCTACCTGCGTAATCGCCCAAAGGCAGTAAGTCACATACCTTTTGTTTATCCGCTCCTGTCGCTCAAGATATCATATGCAGCCAGTGGATGTGCTATAGAAGTCCGGTGGACACCAGTTCGTGCGTGGGCACGCGGCTGTACGGCACGGCAAATTAACGGCGCAAGGCCATCTAACGGCGGGGACACATACTTTGAGAACTGTAACGTGCTTCTCGCGCAGGACCTAGAGCGCTGCCAATCACATCTCTGCAAGTGAGCTCTATTCTGTTTAACAAACTCGGAATAGCTTGAAGTTCGCACCTCCGGAGCCCGTTTGCCAGTGGCTCGGAATGGCAAGCTATCAGTCAGGCACGTACTATGTACACTCTCTGCGCGCTGAGGGCGCTTGAGGCGGTTTAACAAACTCATCCCTAGGGCGCGGTTGAAGTGTGTCTGACCTGCGATGATCGTCGGCTTCCGTGAAGGCCTGTGAAGGCCCCGCTTCTGGCCAGCTACGAAATTCAACTCTATTGTGGGACGATACGCAAGGCGCCTGTGTGAGGACGTGCTGCCTTCCTCGACATTGCGGAGAGCTCACTGTCCCTCGCGCGAAGCACGTCCCCCTTAGACGCGCCTAAGTTGCCGGACTGGGCATGAAGCTTGACACGGGTCCTGGTCGATGATGGTCTGCTTTCGCAGAACTGCGAACGCGATCTCGCTAGTCGTCCGCGCGCCACACCTAGAGGGGAACGATGAAACTTTCTGTGGATGCTCCGCTCGAGCGGTGTGGTAAGGTTCTCCGCTGCCGCGCGCAGTAGTGGCAGTTCGATGGTCACCGACAGTGCCATGGTAAGTCCCGGTGTCTTGCTCACCAGCTGACGGTCCCTTGCCTACTTCTGACGCTGACCGTAGTCTTCTATAGCTTGCTCGCCGCTGCTCCTGACGGAAATTACTTGTGGAAGCGTAAGAAGATGTCAAACTGCCAACCAATCTGCCACCACGAGGACCACCCATGGTAACATCGTGGTGGATTGCGGGCGATGCAACACCGCACTCTTGCCTGTAACGCTTGTCCTGGGCCCCGGATATAACACCAACTCTACCAGTACGAGCACCCGAACGGATACTGATAGCATGGGACAGACTCCAAGCCTCCGTGGTCGTCTCCCGCCACCATCGTCCCGCCGTAGCAGGTTTCGCAGTCGTAACAATATGTCGCCAAACCACCACACCTCTCCTCGCGATGTCGCCGACACCCCCGTACGAATCGCTTCGCCAAACGCTTCGGAGGACACCCCACTTCCTCCGAATCCACCTAGTAGCTCCGGTTACGGCATGTCAAACTCGGACGAAGCGCCCCCTACCCCCTTCCTGCCAACCGCTACCGATCTTCGCGCCGTGCGCCGCATCCTGTCGCAACTCAGACTCCCTCTAGAGCTGATCATCATCATCATGGACGACGCTGCATACTATGCTGTCGCGCACGGCACGCTCCACAATGCGGATGTCGACAACACTTCCGGTACTGGCGCATCAATGCTGGATTTACATGCCTCGAGGGACTGCCCCGATCCACACGGTAGCTGTGCTTCGCGCCTCTGCGTGCTCACCTCGCCACTCCCCCACGGTGCCCCAGGCGAGACGTGGCGGGCCAAGGCAGTCGTTTGGGACATCGAGAGCCACGACCAGGGCTGGGGCGGTGAAGTTCCAGGTACGCGTAGTACCGCACGACGCATAGCTGCTTCAACTCATACCAGACTTTCGCACCGGCTCCTAAGGCGGCTTTCACGGCGCTTATTCTTGGTTCGAGGCATCCATCTTCCGCGAGACGAACCCCACATCACACGCCGGTGATGCGAGCGGCGATGCTGCCTCCATCGTCCAGTCGCTTTGGGACGCGCTTGACGTGCCATACTGCTCCCTGGAGGACGTCCGTCCCCGTCTCGCGACACTCGGACAAACACTTGTCCCTGGCCCACGAGGATCGGCGAGTTGGGGCGTCCAGCGCAACCGTGTCGCACGGTCAGACTTCACCCACTATCAGATCGAGTGGGGCACAACGCCTGCGGGGAATGGGTACGTGGAGGCGGATGGGCATTATGTGGGGGAGGGATTTGTGGGCGCGCTGCAGCCGGGGGACGTGGTTGCGCTCTGGATGCGCGCACAGTACCCTGGTTGGGCCAATTACGTTCGAAAGGCGTCGGTGAAGGTACTGTATGACGTGTACTAAAGGTTTTCGTCGTTTCATGCTGTATATCATGCTTGCGACCAGGTCGAGACTAGGCTGCCCTTTTATATATACGTACAGAAAAACCTATGCAGCAATCTTTGCACTACGAAATGCCAGGTCCCGCCTCGACGGTGCGATCTAACTGTTGAATAAATCCACATAAGTACATCGGAAATGCGGTAGCACGTATATAGATAAAAGAACACGATGTGGGTCTATTCTACAGGACAGGCGGCAGAGCAGCTTCAAAGTGTTCGTAACCGTAGAGAGATATGAGAAAGTAAGTATACGGGGAATAACAAAAAGCAGGCAATGCGAAGATGTGCATGAACAGGATCCGCTCGTTGGCCGAGCACTGGAATGCCGTTACACGAACGCAGATGCGAAGTGCTTCATGTTGCCTCTCCGAGGTGTCCTGGGAGTTGCGCCCGGAATAATGTTCCGGAGGGGATAGACGTCCTCGTACTCCTCTTCGTCCTCCTCGTAAGGCCCCGCGGCCGCCGTTTTCGCCAATCTCCGACGCTTGCAGGTGGCAGTACTCGCGCCGCGCCGGGGACCAACCTCGTAATTGGGGCTGAAGTCCTTACTGAACATGTTGGATGTGGTATGAGAGAAAGATGAAACTGCTGTAGGATTTTAGGGCGCGCGGGTGAGAGCGAGTGAGAGCGCGAGGGAGCGCGTTTGGCCGAGTGCAAACGCGTGAGTACATTGGGTGTCGCGCGGGCGGTTAAGTAGGTACATGAGTGGCGCGTTGCGCTGTAAATACAACAGAGCCGGAATACAAAAGAAACCTAAAGCGAAACAATACGAGCTGTGCTCGCTCGCAACGGAGACAATAAGTACCAAATATCGACAACTGCATGGACAGTAAGTAGACTCGGAGTGGCTTTTGTCGGCACTGAGGCTCGAGGGCAATTGGCTAGGTGCGGCCGGCGGCTTGACCCCGTTGACTTACTATGGCGCCGCGCGTAGCTCACCACAATAGAGCGCATGTAGATGAGTCACCATTATCTTGGACCGATGCGGAGAACAATGTCGCTCTGTGCTGACGGATAGTGGCTAAGTGCAACATACGAGACGCTTCCAGCGTCAGTATCGGATCAACCTAGTGTGTCGGGCGGCTATTGCCGGAGGGGAGTTGCAACGTGATGGTCGCAACAATTCAAGGGACCAGGCGAGAGCCACTCGTACCACGAGACAGAGGAGGAATGATATTAGGGCCGGGCTATTTGGATACAGGATATATGGTATGGACACTGCTCTAACTTCTAAGAGACCTGTAGCGGTAATAGATGTCCGTGTGGGAGCAGCGAAATATAGGGAAGGTATTTATAGTGATATAGTAAGGCTAGCAAAGCATCAGACGTTGGGACGGACAGCGGGAAAAAGCAGTGGGATTGTAGAGAAGATTTTGAACAAGGATTGAGAGTTGGGGTGTGCGGCAAACCAGGTAAGCGTCGTGAGAGTATCACATTCACTTCGGCAGCCCTCAACGAGTGGTGTCGGGGCGAGGAGGGGTCCGCGGTGTTAAGGAGCCGTAGTCGCGCTCGTGGAGCGGGAAGATAGACCAGCAAGTCTGAGCTAACCCCACCCGACGCCGCTTGACAGTGGTTGTGCTCGCTCCTACCGGGGGCCCAACAGGGTGCTGCACCTTGAACGAGTCGGGCACGTTGTCGCCGTCGATGCGGTCCTCCACCCAACCATTCGTGTTCATTGCCTCGCTGAGGGCCGTCTGCATATGGCTGTGTGTCGCGACCTTGAGTGCGTCGGCCTCGGTTTTCGCTTCTGGCTTCTTTGGCTCCTTCTCCTTCATCTTGGCAATTTGCCCGGGAGGTAATGCGCCGAGGCGGACATTGCTGTACTTGTTTATGGGTGCGCGGCGAAGGGCTGAAAGGGGTGCAGGTTCCGGCTTCTTGGATTGCTTTAAAAGCAGCTTGGGAGGGGGTCTCTGGCTCTCGGTGTAGGCCTGGACTGCGTAATGCGCACTGAACCAGGCGAGGACCGTGTCGAGAAAGTCGTTCAACGGCCCCGAGGCAAACCTTAGGACTTCGCCTCCTGAAGGCCCCGTCGTGAGCTTCATGATGCCCTTCATCGTGTTCAGTTTCTTCGTGCCGCATTCGTATTTGCCATCGTCAACTGTGTAGGAGTCGAAGAAGGCTTCAATGAAAGCGCCGACATCCTTGCAATTCGAACGCGTGTAGCGGATGGCGTAGTAGAGGAGCACGTGGAAGAAGGATTCGAGTTCGTCGGACGTCTCGACCACCTTCGTGTTCTTCGACAAGACTGCGACGGACATAAATTGCCATGTTCCCTGTAGCACAACGATAATCAGTCACAAACAACGGACTGGCTGTTTTAAACACTCACGGTTCGCTCAGGCTGCCGAGCGCGAAGTTGTCCGCTTTTGTGTCGCAGTGGCTTTGATAGCTCCCAATCGGTGAGGAGGCCGCTCCAGTTCAATGCTTTCGTGCCGGCCTGAACATCATGCACGACCTTCGGGAATATAAGGATATTGCCGCCACTGATGTCGCGGTGAATTATATCCGCCTTCTCAACAGCCTCTTGATGCGCTATTACAAGTCTATGAGTGGGATGACAGTAGAATAGTGGTCCGCAGCAACGTACCGACGACGGTGTCGAGGATGATCGACACAAGCTGACAGCTACTCTGAAACTCCCTGAGCGGCAATGCGACCTCCTTTACCACGAGCCGATAGTGAGCGTGTAGGCGTAGTGGGCACTCCTCGCTATTCTGCGGCTTCTTCTTGTCGGGGTTTGGATCGGAGGGTGACAAGGTATCATCTGTGGCATCGTCGGCCTCGTCCCGGGAGCGTTTACGACTTGGTGATGTCGAGGGTCGGAAGTTTGCGAGTGTTTGTGAGGACGATGCAACAGGTGCTGCAGGAGAGCGGTGGGGTGGCGGGATAGCGCTTGCATCGGTTGCGATGGCCCCGGTAGCATTTGTATTGGCCGTGTTTGCGCCACTGGCATTTTCGTCAGTAGCACTTGCATCGGAATCTTCCTTCCTTCCCCAGTAGTCAGGTGTCTTCGTAGTTTGTCCCAGGATGTCGCCATGGCATACGAGAGTCGGGACGTTGATCACGCCTGCGAGATTAAGCTTCTTGAGCGTGATACCCTCCTTGTCAACAAGCTTGTAGTCAGCACGCCACGCGTCCTTCAGCCACACAAAGTGGCCGCTGTCGCAGTGATAAGCGACGTATCCCCGCGTACCCCGGCCCGCCATGCCAGGCGCATGGAATACAGGCTTTCCAACAAGGAAGCTGTGAGTTTCGCCGGTATCGGTGTCTTGGACCTCGAGGCGGTACCGAGGCCATTCGCAGCGCAGCGACTTGCGGAACATATCACGGACGTAGCGGTATACGGGCGCATCGTCTTGCATATCGTCATCGAGGTTGCGCTCCATGTGGTCGACATCTGTCTCAACGGGTACGGCGATCGTGTTCATGCGAAGATAGTCCGAGTCTTCCCGGTGGATGCGAGTGGCGCTGGGGTCATAGCCAAGCTGCTCTTCCGTAAGTTGCGACATACGCCAAAGCATCTCGCATAGGAGTCCAGGTTGCTCGAAGTAGTCTACCGCTCGCGTGACGATAGTTCCAGACCGGTCCCAGCGAAGGAAGCGGAAGCGGCGTTCCATGACGAGCAGCATATAGAGCTCAGTGCGGTGTTGGTATCGGAAGATTTGTTCGGCATAGTCGATGAGCTGGCCGCGGACCTTCTTGCGTGTTGCGGCTTGAGCCTCAACATTGCTGTCGACGCGGTCATCGAACGGGTCGTGAGTCGTTTTGTGAGACTTGAACTCGACGGCGATGACCTGATCCGCCCAATGAGGACGGCCATCCGAGAACACGTGGGCTGGTTGGAAGAAGGCGGCATCGATCTTGGGTCCAGAGCCGTCGCCCTTGTCTGGCATTTCTTGGGATTCTGACATCACGAGTCCCGGCGCCAGGTCATATCGATTGACTATAGAGATCTAAAGCGAAATCATGAGCGGAGGTATAAGCTTCTATAAGCAGCGAACGTACGAATAAGTCGGCAATCTTTGCCTCTACCATGTTCTCCGCATCCTCCAGCTCCTGGAACACGTTGTGGTCCCAACACGGTTGTTCTTTTGCCCGGGTTTCAAGGTCGGCAGATGGAGTGGGTGGGGGAGATAAGGGAAAGAAACTCTCGAGGAACTCTCGAGGCTCGAGTCTAATGGCCTTGTGAGCCATGTCGTCTGCCGATGCTGCTCGATACTGTGAACGATCCTGGCGTTCTGCGGCGAGTGAACCGGGTCCAGGTGCTGTTGCGTGGTGGACTCTGTAAGCACCAAACGGGATGGGAGAGGATTCGAGGTCAGTGAATTCCATGGCGAAGCAGAGAAAGATATGGAGAAAAGCAACACACTGTGCTGGAATGCTTGGTCGGGATTTTATATGAGGTCGAGTATGGCCCAACAACAGGGGGCGGGACGATGGGAGAGGGTAGGATGAAAAAGCAATCCTGGCCTGCAATGCTTTTCAGATCAATGGGCGACGCGTCACCGGATCATCTGAGTCACTCACAAAAGCGTCTGACAATGGGACGCGTAGGAAGGTAGGAACTCCGAACAAAGAGTGCGGATGGTGGTGGCTAGGGTTGAAGACGAGAGTTGCCCAATTGGGCGAAGGAACGCATGGCGGCGTTTGCCGAAGCTACGCAAACGCCCGTACTCAAGCCAAGATCCAAGTTCAAGCGTCCACGGCTACCAGTGCGTCTCTCGCCTCTGCTACTGCGGCGAGCCTGGCTGGGACAATGACATAGATTCGACACCGCTAGATCCACAGAGGCACGGAATATCAAGGAAGACCCGATAGAAACTCACCGTGGCAGGTCGCTCGAGCTCGCACTTGACCGACTTGGAAGTACTCTTAGAACAAATTCCGGTCACTGCCTCGAAACTGGCAGCCAGCCCGGCATGGCCAAAGGCACAGCATCAAGATACAATATTAACAAGCCTAAGTAGTTCACTGCAAGATTACAACGACATGGCTAACACGTTTCCAACACCACTCGCGACCGCTTCCGCGACGGAACCCGGGCAGCTGAGCAGGAAGCCCACCTGGGGCTGGCCCGGATAGAACCACGTCGCCGTTGCCTAAAAAAATATCCACTGTGAGTACTCTCTTACCATGCCGAGTCTGCGGCACACTCACAATCATAGCATAGAAGGTGATCAAAGTCACGCCCTGGATGGACAGATCGCAACCGCGAGGTGAGCTGCAAGCGGGAACTGCGTCAAACCAGCGATACGCACCTCCGCAAAGTTCGTCTTCCCATCTGCAGTCACATAGTTGACCAGGAAGCACGACCCAAGGAGCAGCGCAACCTCGAAGTAGTCTGCCCGGCCCTGGTTAGCCCTTTCCCGCATCGGTACAATCACTATCATAACGGGGGCACGCACCAAAAAGCAGATGGAACGGCTTCCCTGTCCACCACGCGAACAGAACGAGCAGCGGCATCCACCAGAGTGTGAACTGGATGCTGAGGTCAATCGGCCGCCCGTGCGCGAGCAGCGATGGCGTGTGAGACTTCTTCTCGTGCGCTGCACAAGTATTGCATCCCAGCCTCGCGACGAGCCACTTCAGCGAGGGCGCAGCAAAGTACCACACGACGACGACGGCTTCAGGAGCAAAGGACACCAGCGGTATGAGAATCAGCCCAAACCACCTGCAGTCGCGCCGCACGAGCTTGTCAGCCCGGGCGAGGGTATACAACGGGCGAGGGGAGAGAACGCACTCAGCCTGGATATCAAAGCGCTCGCGTATAGGATCGATGCTCTGGACCAACTGCCCAGAGTGTTAGCCGGATCCCTTCCGTAGCGTTTCACGCATAGGAGACTCACAAACTCGGCGGTGACGCCCATAACTGCGGTAGACACGCAGATGAGGGTCGCGCACACGATTGGGTGTAGGAGCCTTTCTTCAGAGTCATTTTCTCGTTTCCCCACTAATCCCAGCCCCCCGGAATTCCTGGACGCGGATCCGCGTAGCAAGGGACCTGGCCGCGCTCCTGTTGTCGAGGGTGGAGCGCTAGACGGCGCATCTGTCGCAGGAAGGCCGCTGGCTGGGATGCTAGGTTCTTTAGGTCGTTGAAAACTCGGGGGGTTGTGCCTGTAAATGCGCGAGGCGACGTATCTGCTCTGCCTGTGAGTGGAAGCCTTATACGGCAATAATGAGAAAACAAGTCACCTACATGAGAAGGAGCATGACCGAGACTCCGCGGCTCATCTTCAACAGCGAATCTCGCATGGTATCCGACACGAAAGCATCGCGCGAGCCATCCGCGCTGGCGCCACGGTCCAGCGCGGCAAAAAATGCGGTCGGGAGCATGATCGCGAGTACGCTGTCCATAGCAAGGGAAATTTGGGTCAGCTGTCAAGCTTTCACCGAGAACACGAATGGGGAACGGCGGGGAAGGACGGAATGGGGCTCACCCAGTCATCAGGAGCGATGGGTTGAGAGACGCGTGGTGTGGGTGTAGGATCTGCTGGAAAACCTGGCTCCCGCGGACAAAGAACGCTGTGCCAGGAACGAGTAACAGGTGCAGGATGACGACGCCTAGAAGACCAACCCCCGGGTAAGCCATGGTGCATGTACAGGTTGTTGGATGAGGCTCCCACCTGCAATCGTCGACTGCAGAAGTCGCAAGCTACAGAAACGAGTCTTCATCAGAAGCTGGGGACCACGATACAGCAGAGCGACGTACTGGCAGTTCTTCAGCAGGATCGCTGCCAAAGTCGCCTCCACCAAGCTATCAGTGATTCAGTCAGCCGCAATGAGGAACTCCAATATGAGACGCACTTCTTCAACGTGATAGCAAGAAAGTCACCGAATTCTCGATCCTTGCGCCTAGCTACAAAGTCTCCGCATATGTCGAAGATGTTCTGCAGTGGGATAATGGCGATGAAGCATACTGCCAGGAGCCGGTGCATGGCGCATTAGCAAGTTGTTGTAGTTAATGCTGAGGGCAAGCTCGCTCACGCAAGAACGTAACCTCGTGGCCCCAGACGTCGACCAGCCAATGTGAGGCCCAAGCAAAAGGGATCACGATGATGAAAATGTTCAGCCCTACGCGGAAAGCTTAGTTAGTCTCTCCTAATAAGAAGTGAAGGACTAGAAGCGACTTACAGGAAGCTTTCAAAGCCATCTTACCGCTCTTCGCCCACCCCTCATAGCTAGGATTTGACGGATCTTTCTCCGCACCGTACAAGAAGATGCCCACCCACTTCGTCCCGACTCGGGGCCGCGTGGTGCGAGTCGTGCTGCCTTCGAAAGATTGTCCAGAGGACGGGGGCCGCCTAGAGCACACTCATCAATCACTTTGGTCATCCACTCCAAACAATCTCCAAACGTTACTCTTTCTCCTCGTCGTGGGGGCTAGCTGATACGTCGGATCCTGTCATCGTCTAGGCACCTCCGCGAAAAGAAACAGAACGAAGCGACGTAGGGCCTCCAGTTGCTGCAACGGGGTTAGTTATATTACTTGGGTGCGCAGGTGAGTTCTTGGGCCGTGGCGCATCCTCGCGGTATGCTCGCACCGACCACAGCACAGAGAGGCCGAGGCACCTATGCTGCACTCCGCGGGTACATGAGGTGAAAAGAGATCGAGTCCACCGTCGTGGCTTTCAGCAGATGATATCCAGGCTTCGGTGCTGCACTCCGACAATTACAGTGCACTTCACCAGCAGCGTGTATGCAGGAATAGCTCCTGCCTAGATAAGACGTCTCTGTCGACTTCGGCTTTCAGGCGTATACAGCAAGTGTGGTCCGGGGAAGAGGATTGCTAGCGCTTCCGGAGCTTCCATGCATCGTTAGACATCGCAAGCGTCGGGTCGATGCAGCGTGGTGGACAACGAAATCGCGGAACCAACGAGCCAGATGGAATGGAAGAAGAACGCGAAGGCGTATCTATCCCTTTGCGTTGTGTCCCGGTGGCTGCTCACTCGCATATCGAATTCATTGTCCGGCTGGAGGCGAGGAGGCCCTGAGTGTGGTTCCGAGCGCGGATCAGCTTTCCAGGTCGAACACGCCAGTGCGGGACGTACACCATTCACTAGATGATAGATATTGATACACTAAGCGAATAGGACAACAGAGTTTCGAAATACCTGAGTCGGTGGTTTGTGAGCGCGGCAAAGGCGGAAAACGGATGCACGTACAACAACCAAATGGTCAGCCTCCGCGACGGCGATATAGCACAGTTCCTCCCCTTAGTCCAAGGCCCGGGAACAGCCGTTCAGCTGCTGCTCGCGGCCTCCTGCCTCCACTGCTTCCTAACCACGCCCACCGGCCTCGGAACCTCCACTGCGTCTAAGCGCATCGCAGAACTAGACGCGCCCGCCACCCCACCTCCCCCATGCATGCCCCGTGCTTGCGACGCCGACTCCGGAAAGTCTTCTTCCGCGGGGGCCTCGCGCACCCGGCGTGGTGGCGGGAGAAACACCCCCTCAAACGGCCGGTCTGGGTGCATGAGTGGAATGGGGGCGGCAGACGGAGCGCTGATTGACTGCTCGAGTTGGAAGAGCACGGCATAGCTCGGGGGAGGAATGCGCCGCTTCTTCGCTCGAGGAGACGCCCCACCTCGCGAGCTTGGGCTGGAGTGCACATTGTCGCGCGGACGACTTGGCCCCGCGCGCGAAGGAATCTCCACCACGGGGTGCATGCCGGATGTCGAGGCAGTCGTGCTGAGCGGTGGGCCGGTGTACTCCACCTCGACGCTCCCCTGGCGTGCCCGTTCCCGTTCAAGCCGATCTATCTCCTGCAGGCGCTGCTTCACCGCTTCGTCTGTGCACAGTATGCATAGTCAGTACAGAACGCACGTCATGCGAGCTCGAACGCGCGTACATCCTTGCGTTTCGACGTCCTTCAGAAGCTGGACGAGTTTCTCCCGGTGGACGCCTTTGGTGTACCGCGCGAGCCCGAGGTCCTTGACTACCGCGCGGATCGTCTCGCGCGTCAGCGTCTCCCATGGCATATGGGACGACATATATTGTACAGGGCGCGGTGTGCCGAGGCCAGCCGGAGGTGTGGTGGAAGAGAGGAACGAGGTTTCACGTCGATCTCCGAGAAATCAAACTCGGGATGTCATAGGCGCCCTTCTACTTCCGCGCGCGGCCAAATACTGTGTTATAGGCATTTCTTGTATATCAGTACGTACGATAGGTATACACAAAAGACCGAACATGAGGGTAGTAAGCAACGTCCGGTCATGTTGAAACAGAGCAATACATATACTACAAGACAGCAATTGGATGTAGATGCAGACAAGGTCAATTATCGTAACGTAGATTAAGCATGTGCAGAGGGCTACAGCGCGCGTTTGAGGAGCGCCGCTGCGCTCGAAATGACGAGCTCTACCTGGCCTTCGTCCCCAGCCGCGACAGCTTCCGCCACGGTGCCCTCGCAGTTGAGCATGAACGCCACTTCCGGCTGGCCGGGGTAGAACCACGTTACGAGAGCCTGCGGGAAACGCCTTAGCAGGAACACAGTTGGGTTAAAGGCGGAATGCACTCACAATCATGAAGTAGAATACGACCATGATCAATCCCTGTAGCACAACGCATGAGCATCACGGCGAATACGAGACAAATACGGCGACGGACCTCGACCCAGTTCGTTTTGGCATCCGCAGTGACATAGTTGACCAAGAAGCACGACCCGAGCAGCAGCGCGACCTCGAGATAGTCTGCGCCCACAACACGCCGCGATCAGCACCCCGCGGATCCCCCCAGGAACCCCGAGCCAGAGGCACGCACCGAAGAGAAGATGCATTGGCTTCTCCGTCCACCATCCAAGTAACACGAGTACCGGCATCCACCAGAGCGTGAACTGGATGCTGAGGTCGATCGCGCGGCCGCGCGCGAGCATGGACGGCACGAGGATCTCGCGGTGCGTGAGGTGGTCGTAGATGGACTGGAAGAAGAAGAGGATCGCGACCACGCCGTCTGCCGAGAAGGACACGATCGGCAGCAGGACGAGGCCGAACCATCTGGTAGCGGGTGGGCGCGTTAGCTTCTGTGTATAAGTTAGCGTGCGCCGAGGGAGGGGGGCTTACTCGGTCTGAATTCCGCTCGTCTCGCGCACTTCGTCGATACTCTCCACAAGCTACGATGGTTTTAGTCTTCTACCTCAGACACAGCCAGGCCTGGGGAACACTTACAAACTCTGCAGTTACCGACATGAGCCCAACGGTGATGACCAGGAGGATCATGCACGCCCAAGGGTTCACGAGAGGCTCTTCCTCGAGCAACTCTACCTCCTGGTGGTGGATTTCCTGGGGTGCGTCATGTGGCACGGTGAGCGCGTTGTTGTCGCCGGGAGGGTTGTGCAGGTACATCCGAGACGCGACGTATCTGAACACGATGTCAGGAGGCACACTGGCATGGTGGGGGATCGAGAAGCGGAAACCTACACTACCAAGAGCATGATTGCAATTCCACGACTCATCTTGAGGATTTCGCCACGAGTCACGTCGTTGACGAAACTGGAACCTGTTTCCGAGCCGGCAGCGGTCACAGCATTCGCACCCCGGTCTAACGCAGCGAAAAAGGCCGTAGGAAGCATAGTGGCGAGAACGCTGAACACGGCCTGGTCAATATCGCGGAGCTCGCGCAAGTACAGGCCAACCAAAACCCTACCCTATCATCAGTAACGAGTGGTTCAGGTCGGTGTGGTGCGGATGCAGAGTCTGGTGGCGGATATTGTGACCACCGACCAGGAACGCCGTACCCGGGATGAGTAGGAGATGGAGAATCACGACGCCTGAATCGGGCATAAGCCTTGGTCAGTAGGATAGCGTGGTGTCCACAGGTGTATACGTACCAACAATAGTGGACTGCAGAAGACGAAGCCTAGAGCATACCCGTAAGTGCCTGAGATACCATGCTCTCGGTGCTCAAATAACGCGACGTACTCGCATTTCGCCAAGAGGATAATTGCCAGGACCGCTTCAACCGCGCTGGAAGAAAGTAAGCACAACACCCCTCCACAGGAGCTCACATAACTGACTTGTTCAGCGTGATGATCAGGAGATCCCCGAGGTCCTTCCCGAGGTATATCGCCATCTGCTCGCCTCCCCAGTCGAACATGCATTCGAGGGGTATGATGGCAAGAAAGGACACTTGCAGGGAGTCAACGCTGTGTACCCACGCGGAGCAGAGAAATTCAAGCCTTACGCGCGAAGGTGGTATCGTGTCCCCAACTGACCATCTCCCAGTGGGATACCCATGCGAGAGGGATGAAGATCAAGAAGAGGTTTAACACTGGTTCATCCCGCGCCTATTCAACGCCTGCTGCATTGAAATACCAACGAAACACTCACGGGAAGCCGTAGCGATATTCCGCAAGCTCTCAATCCACCCAATCCTCCTACGGCCCTTCCCGCAGAGGCGGTCCCAAAACACCTGCGCCCTGTCCGCGGCGTAGCCATACGCAGCGCTATACCCGTAGCGCGAGTGCGGCGCGGCGCCCGAGGGATGCGCGAGGCCTTCTTCCGTCGACCCGGCGTGGCTGGACCCTGGGTGTAAGTACTCCGTCTCCATCTTGTCGTGCAATTGCAGGGCATACCCGCGCTCCTCGTCAGCCATGACTCTGCTCGCAGTCGCACTGTCAGCCTTCTCATTCTCGTTCGTGGAGGACATCGGGGACGATGCAGAGGTGGAGGGGAAGGGGACGCTCGAGAGCGGAGGAGGGAAGAAGGGAGAAGAGGGACTTGCCAGAAGCGTGGGGTACGGCAGGCTGCTTCTCCGTGCGCACCGGTGGGTGATATGTGACGACGCCGGACAGGCCTGCCAAGAAAGGGAGCCAAGCCTACGATGGCGCTGACGGGGAAGCTGCCTCGACCTGGAGATGAGCGGGGGAATGGCTGCGGTGGCATAGTCCTGCGGCGGGGCTTTACATAGGGCGGAGACCCTCGCCTTGGCGGGCTGTTCACCGTCCATGGCGTTTTGTCTTGATCCCGCTAATGTCAGCAGGCCCTGGCAGTGGCGAGCGCGAGCGGGTGTGTGTTCGGGAGGGATCATGGCGTTGGGGTCCAGCCAACCAGAGCGATGCGCGGCGACGGCGCGGCGAGTTCCACGCCACCACGCCTCGCGTCGTTCGCGTGCGCGCGCTCTCGGATGTGGCACTGAGCGCTTTCTTCCTCCACAACACACCCAGACACACCTGCGCCGTGCGAGAACGGCGGAGGGTAGTTTCAGTTCTTCCAGAGTGCCCAATTGCTGTCAGCGATTGGTCGCGAGGCTCTCCCTTGATGTGGTGTATTCACAGATCTGCAGAGGGCTCCCATGGTGTAGCTTCACAGCAAGCGACATCTGACAACTTCCGTCGTCGGAGACATAAGCATGGGATATTGGGAGGCGAGGATCCCGATGGGAAATGACTGACGCGAATATGTCAAATTGTCGCTTCGTGAGCCGGCGAGTACAGCCACTTCACCGTGCTCTGGCTGACGGCCTCACTCGGTCTGCAGCCTCTGTGACCACCTGAGGCTGCGCATCGGGGATTGTCAGCAAGCGGGTGCAGTGAGGCGACGAGAGACGGAGAGGAGACAGTTCACCGAAGGAGTATCGTCCAGGGATTATCTCAGCTGGCAAAGTCAGGGTTGTGTAGAGGCTGGTCGCTGTCGGAGTGAGAGGGAGGATCCCAAGAGCCCATCACAGTGAGTGCCGTCGCCGCCAGTGTATTCTGCCCGTTCTAGATGCGGCGCGACACCGACATGTGCTTGTATGCGGTTGATTCGGGTGTCCCGTTGTACCGCCAATGTATATTGATCATTTGCAGAGGTTGCTTATGGCGCGGATCGTTATGATACATCTTACATGAACATGTATAGCGGCGCCGACGGGAGTTGTCCATGGCCATGGGAGGAGGGATGGAATGCGAGCGGGCAGTATTCGTGTGGTAGCCTGGTAGGAGGGGAAGCCTTGCATAGGCGCTAGACGCGTCGCGTCGACGCGTCTCGTGCATCCTACACACGTGAGCGTTCCCAATTCCTCGCGAGCAGATGCGGGAAAAATCTAGTTCGCAACAAACGGGCACAACACCTACGACATATTTGGTGTTTGGCCGTCTTTGTTTCATGGCAAATTTCAACCTGGAGCAGGGAACAAAACACCATCAAATTCTGCCCGCCCCGGTCCTCCAGACATCCCGCACTGTGTGCCTTCCTCCTGGTGCTAAGAAATCTACCACATAGCAGAAGCTATATACGTAGATCGACCGTCATCTACTATATAGTCAGCCAGGTCGGAGACCAGGCAGAAGCATCATCTAATCCGTCTTCTTCACGAAATGGCCAACGCGGTGCCAGTTGAACAAATGCTCCTCCTCCTCCCCTTCCTTCCCCCACACGCTCCCCTCCTTCCATGCGTCCATCTTCTCGACCCACACATGCGTCGGCCGGTCGAGACAACACCCGTCAAACGCGCGCTTCCACAGCGGCGTCCAAAACCGCTGCCACCACGCGACGTCCGCGCGGGGGCTGAGGACATGTTCATAGAACAGAAGCGAGCCTCCCGGCTTTAGCACGTCGCGTACGAGCCCCGTGAGAGTGCGCTCGGGCTCCTGGATTGAGCAGATGGTGAGAATAAAGACCAGAGTGTCGACTGAGCGTGCGCCGCCGAGCGCGGAGGTGATGAGGCCAGTCTCCTCGGCACCGTAGGGAAGAAGCAGGAGGTTTCCAGCGGCTTCGGTGAACCCCTTGGTCGCGGCGAGCGTGCGGAGCTCGTCGTGCATGAGCTCGTTTGGCTCTAGTGCGACGTACTTGGTGACCTTCGACGGGTCCAAGTACATGATCGTATGTCCATGACCTGCGTAAGGCAATATCAATCATGAGCGCCCGGTCGATTGTAGCGAACGAGTGAATAGATTTACCTGCCCCGATGTCGAGCACGACGCCGTGTGCGTTCTCAGGAATAAGGGCCTGCTTGACGGGACGTCCGCCCTCGTCGACACCGTTCCCAAACAACTTCCAGACATGCGCCATAAAGATGCGCGACACCTGGTGCGGATGCCAGAGCAGGGAAGGGGCCCTGAAGATCGTGGTCAGGGTGGGCACCAAGGCCGCCCCGATAGCGAGTCGCAGGTCGAGGAGGAGAGCGAATGCGGCTGAGAGTTTCATGATGACGGCGCGATGGTGGTAATCTGCATGCAGGTTCGAAGCGCACTGGTGTGCGCTCGAGGGTCGTGCGCGGCTGAACCGTGACCTACGTTCGTTCTTATAAGGCCGAGTAAGGGTGTGAGACCGTCACTGCACACTGGTGAGAAAGAACTAATACTAGCGCCCAGCTTGCCGAATCTGTATGTTCCTGACGCCGTACATATGCCACCAGTACAGATAACAAGGAGGTCGTACTGCTTACAAGGTCCGCCTTCAAGGAATAACTGTATGTTCCAAATGATAAAGACGAATATTAGGAATCCCAAGAAAGCTCAGTACATCGACCAGGAATGCATCGACCAGAGGAATAGGCAGAGCAGCCCATCAGTCCGCCTTCTTCACAAACCGACCGATGCGATGCCAAAACAGCTGTTCCTCCTCGCCTTCGCCCTCGTTCCCCCACACGCGTCCTTCCTTCCACACGCCCATTCTTTTCACCCAAACATGCGTCGGCCGGTCAAGGCAGCACCCGTCAAACGCCCTGCTCCACAGGGGCGTCCAGAATCGCTGCCACCATGCAACGTCTGCACGCGGGCTCAGGACGTGCTCGTAGAACAGCAGCGAGCCTCCCGGCTTTAGCACGTCGCGCACAAGCGACGCAAGCGTGCGCTCGGGGTCCGGGATAGAGCAGATAGTGAGGATGCATACGAGCGTGTCGGCCACGCCCGTCCCGCCGAGTGCGGAGGTGATGAGGGCGGTGTCTTCGGCGCTGTAGGGGAGCAGCAGCAGATTTCCTGCGGCCTCGGTGAAGCCTTTGGTTGCGGCGAGCGCGCGGAGCTCCTCGTGCATGAGTTGGTTCGGCTCCAACGCTACGTATTTTGTGACCTTAGACGGGTCTACATACAAAATTGTATGGCCATGACCTGTTGTTAGAGAGAGTGCGCGATATTGGTAAGCGGTCCGTTGGTGATTAAGCAGCAGGTTTGGGAGAGCTTACCCGCTCCGATGTCGAGCACGACGCCGGTGGCATTTTCGGGGAGGAGGGCTTGCTTGGCGGGCCGCCCCCGCACGTCGGCACCGTTCCCGTACACCTTCCAGACATGGGCCATAAAGGTGCGCGAGAGATGGGTCGGGTGCCAGAGCAGGGAGGGGGTCCTGACGATCGCCGAGAGGGTGGGCATGAAGCCCGCCCAAATGGCGGATCGGAGCTGAAGGAGGATGGAAAATGCGGCGGAGAGCTTCATGATGGCGGCGAGATGGTGGTGGCAATTAGCAAGCAGACTCGACGCGCAGTCCGTGCGCGGGGGATGTGCCCGCTGAGTTCGCCCTCGAGTGTAGTGTGACACTGTCACTGCTAAGAAGGAACGAACGCGGGGGGGCTCTTGATCTCGTACCACCATCAAGGCTGTTGTTCCCACGCTACCCCCGAGCGTGCGGAAGGCAGATGGTCCCAAATAATATAGTATACTGATAGTGCTACGAAGAGCCTAGGATGCGGGAGTGATTTACCGAACCGGCACTGGATTAAGAGAAGAGCAAGCGCAAGAGGGTCAGAAGGAGCAAGTAAGTATCGCGAAACTCGAGGGATGACGTGGCAAGAGAAGGCAAGATAACTAGTGAAGAGGAGATGCCCGTCCCGTACGGATGCCCGCTGATAGCGGATGCCTGCGAGTGCAGATGCCCAGTCTCTGGATGCCCGAACACGAACGGATGACCGCAGACAACATGGGATGTACCCGAGGAAACAGAGGTTATGTCGCCGAGAAGACCACCGAACAAAAAGCGCCGAAAACGCCGAGATCACCGAGCTGTTAAGATAAGATAAAACGGGATAAGATAAGATGAGGCGACCGGATTGGCAGGGGTAGAAGAGAGGATAAGGAATACGTAGTGGTCGTCGACAGGACGAATGCGAGCGGACTCGGCCTAACATGGCACCACGAGCGGGAAGCGGCCATAGCAGATGCCGTTAAGTCAGAGTCTAAAGAGCACGTCGCCGAGACGGAGCAGGTGTCAAGCGGGATAGTATCAAATCAGATAATAATGGGGAGAGGAGCGGGAGAGCCTCCGCAAACGCAACCATCTATCTATCCACACACGCTCCTTCAACATCCTGTACACAGGAGGTACTAGAGATTCAGCAGGCCGCTGAGCGGACTGGCAGCAAGTACGCCGCAGACTTTAGGGTTCACCACGGGTCACCCCCGGGTAAATTTTTCGCAACCCGCACCCTTGACCCGCCGTACCCATACCCGCAAACCCTCGGGTTGCACGGGTCATGGGTTAAGCGCCGAGTCACGGGGGTTGGGCGCTACCCGTACCCGCCGCGGGTTTGGGGGCGGGTTAGAGCAGTCGGACACAAGTTCAAACACCAGAAACAGAAGTGGTTTTATGTCGTTACAGAACAGTACAAGACATAGATAGTGCTACTCCGAGTCCGAGCCCCCAACGGTCCTCAGCGATGGCAGGCTTGAGTCGCTATCATAGTCCAGAGCCGCCGAGTTCGTGCAAACGCGGTCCGCCTCAACAACCGTGCGAACGCGATCCGATTCCACGACCGTGCCTCCATGCGCGTCTTCACTTGCGGCAGCCCCAAGATCGGGCGCGGGGCTCTGCTCAGCTCTCCAGGCATTAGAGGCCTGTGAGCTGGAGAAATAAGCTGCAGAAATGGGAGAGTTGAAAGCAGGATCGTACCTGATGTTCAACGCAAACCCAGTCGAGGACCAGCTCGGAGTTGCCGCTCGCCCGTGAGGCCCTCCATAGCAGCGATCTCGCGGACGCGATTGACGAAGTGGGGCCAGTCCTGTCGGCGTTGGCCGTGGGCATCTTCAATGCTGAAGAATATGAGAGCTCGCGCGAGCCCGCGCAGAGCCGCACGTTGGCGCTCGGTCGTCGATGCTGGGAACATCCCCTGCCCAGTGGGGTGGTTGATGACCTCAAGCCAGCCTTCCCATCGCGCACGCGAAGAGGCGAGATCGGCGTAGTCATCCGGAAGAGTGAACTACAGTCCTAGTTAGTAAAGCTGACAGACAAACACGCAAATGAGCTCACCGTGACGCCGGTGGTGTCGTTTTCGATGCACGCGATGACGGAGGTGAACGAGCCACGGCCGGCCTTACTCGTCCAGGAGTCGACGAGCAGGCGCAACGTCGGGTCGGAGGGTGCAGCGGTAGGCATTGCGGCCGTGGGCGCGGTCGGTGGGCGCTGTACGGTGAGTGTGCGGGGAGGGGCAGAGGCGCGAGCCCCTTCGACCCCTTCTCCGATGTCTTATATCTGCATGCCGGCGGCCGGGCAACGGAGGGACTCGGACAACGTGCACTTGCGGTGCCTCGTTATCTGCATACAAATCAGCAGGAAAAGGACTAGCTTGATGGGAGCGTGTAGGCATGGCGAAATAATCAGAATAACACAAAAGATGCACGGTACATGAGGAGCGCGAGCCACATCGATTGGACGACGGACGGGGTGGGGACTACTTAAACCAGGAGCTCGGTGCGACGAGCTCACTCGTTCTCCTCCACTTCCGGAAGCTGGGCCGCGCGGAACATGTCGGTGGTATCAACAAGCCCGTACTGGGCCCACACCGCGAGGCAGATGCTGGCCCGCGTGCTCTCGGCGGTCAGGCGGTTGCGGACGTGCGAGAGGAGCAGGCGGCCGCGGCTGAATATTCTCTCGACCTCGACGGATGTGGCTAGACATACTGATCTGTCAGCAGGGACCTCAGCTACGGTGCCGCTCTGCACGTACCAGGGATGTTCAGATAATCGATCGCCATCCTCGAGAGACGGGGGTACTTCTGGCGCTTTCCCTGCCACCACGAGATGGCGTCCTTGACGGGCACTAGGTCAGCGGCGAGGTAGTCCTTGAGCTCGTCAATATCCGAGGCGTCAGCTGCCCCGTTGAGAAAGGGGAGATTATCAAACATGTTTCCACCGTCGTCACCGCTTGCCTGTGTACGAGACAGATGGGGTACATGCGAACAACGGATGCACGGTGACTCACTGGGTCTGTATCGGCGGGCACTGAACCCGAGTTCGCGTTGCCATCCTCGTCGGAGTTGGCATTAGCCTCGTCCTCGTCTCCCGTGCCTGACAACGGCAAGTGGGCGTACTTCTTGTTGAACTGGGTGCGGACAAGGTCCTCGGCGACGTCGATCCACTCTGGGAGCCAGCCGGCCTTTGCAAAGTAGGCCTTCTTGTAACTCGGATGAAGCACTGCAATGGAGCGTGAGTTAGCGGATGAAACACAGAGAAAAGACAACAAGACGCACCCATGGCGATGCGGTACGCCTTCGACGCGTCCGTGAGCTCATAGTACTGTACCTGCCCGACCAATCCGGCGGGGGGTTTGGGGTGTGACCGCCGGTCCCGAACCGGCGCGACCGCAAAAAGCGGCACGAACCGGCCGCAACTGTGACCATTTGTGCCACAAAGCGGCGCAACGGCCCCGCAGGGCGGCCGGCGGAGCGATTTTTGAATGTGACCGGCCGTGAAATACGGCCTGGAGCTGCGGGACCCGCTGTGACCCGGGACAACTGCCAAAATGCGGGGCGGCGGGGGTCCTTGTGACCTGTGACCCACCGGATTGGTCGGGCAGGTACAGTACTTGTTTAGAGTCTTCTTCGCTAAGCCCATGGCGGTGCGGATGGCGAAGTCGTACTTGGCACTCTGCAAGTGGCCGGTAGCGAGCCGCTGGTCGATCAAGTCCATGGCCGGGATGACGGTCGCGAGATTGGGAGTCCTGCGCGAGAAGAAATGAGTAGCCTCTTTGAATATCTGAGGAGAGGCATAGGGAGCGAGGAGAGGAGGGAGCAGAGGCGCAGGCACGCGTGCAAGAAACGTGGCCGAAGGAATAAGGTTTGTCAGCGGGGGTGCACTGCATAGCTCAAGAATTAAGGTTAGAGTTCAAACCTTAAGCACCTCAGTGAGCTGGCGAGCGATGGTCCACTCGCGCGCCCCGAGCTCATACTTCCGCAACCCCAAATCTCTATCCGCGCACATCGAATCGACTACCTTTCTGTACTCCAATGCGACCGTCAACATATCATATGTCGAATTCCACCGGGTGGACACGTCGCACGGGATCACCCGGTCGGGGAGCTTCAACTCGGCCACACGCTTCTTATAGGCGGGCAGAAGGATCGTGGTGGAATGCACGACCTTCGAAGCAAACTTGCGGATCTTAGGGTATGCTGGTGAGCTCAGTCGTCGTCGAGAGAGCTCGCAACACTCACTTTGGTCAAGCACAGGCGGACGGGCCGAACCTTGCGCTGGAACTTGGCGCGTTCCTCGTCCGTCATGGCCGCCACTTCATCCACCCAGCCCTCGTTGTCGTCGCCTCCCTCGGCGCCCGTGGGGAGCAAGAACTCACCCTCCCCGTCAATCTCGTCCTCCCCCTCGCCCTCATCTTCTTCGTCATCGCCGTCTGCAAGCTCATAGAGCTCTTCGTCCTCTTCGTCAACCTCCTTGCTAGATTTGGCCTTCGGTACGTCGAATTGCCGCAGCAGCGTCTTTACAACTAGGTTGATGACATGCACGAAGCAGCGCACACGCCCCAGCGACCCCTCGAAGCTCGGGACGCGCTCGCCGAGGACCTCAGTCATGACGTCGTTTGCCGACACGTTGTCGCATGCCAGGCCGAGCATCTGCCCTTGTATCAGTACGTCATTACTCCTGTATCTCGAAATGTCACCAACCTTCTCTTCGACTCCGAAGTCCTGCAGGACGTGCATGAATGCCTCCGCGAGCCGCGCACCGGAATGCGACTAGGGGCCAATGTGGTATACAAGTGAGTCGACTGCATTTGAGTGGAGTTCACGGAGATTACGTACCTCGGCGACCTCGAGCAAGTCAAGCAGCATGCTGTCGGGCTCGTCGTTGAGCACAAAGTGGACCGTCACCGCAATGAACGCGTGGTGATTGGGCGAGGACCAGGCATCAGTGGCAAAGCTTAACTCGCCTTCGTACTCCTGGAGGAGGCGGGCGACCTTCTCGCGACATTTAGTATAGATGACTCGGATATCGCGAGCGACAGTAGACGCGGACGGGATCCAATATCCCGGGCGGCCGGTCTTCATGAGCGTCTGGAAGCCCGGGTCCTTGACGATGATATGGGGCCGCATACTTTGAGTGACCCACTTGACAATCTCAACCCTACGTACAAACACTGAGCTCGCACTGACAAACATCGCATATATATATCAACCACGTACCTGGTCTCCGAGCGCGTGTGGGTGCGGTGCGAGTACGATACCTTCCCCTTCTTCCGTGCAAAGCTGTATGTAATGACGCCATCCTTTTGCAGGCCTCCAACGATCTTCTCACGGACCTCGGCGACGCTCTCCGCCTTGTCAGTGTCCTTCAGCACCTGGGCGCCCCAGCACTTCCGCACATGACGGCGAAGATTGCCCATCGAGGACGAGTCACCGGTGTCGAGGAAACGACGGCAGGTATACTTACATCCTTTGGCCAGGCAGGCAAAGACGTGTGCGCGGCGGCCCTTCTCATACACGATCTCCGGTGTCGCCTTGTAGAAGGCGTAGACCGGGGAGGTCCAGTCCGCGCGGAGGCGCTCTAGAAGCCAATGTAAGCATTCACGCACATACAAGTTTAATGGAATGCACTCACCGAGCTCGGCATCCGAAGACTCCTCCTCTTCAACGGCGGCCTGCGCCGCATCGACATCCATCTCGTCATCAGATGACTTCGCGCCCACACCCTCCTCCGCACCTGACTCGTCGACGACAACGATGCCCTCACGCTCCAGCTCCGCGCGTTCCTCTTCCTCCGTGCGGCACGTGGTCTGGCGACGACCACCACGGCGGGAGGAGGAGGAGGTGCCCGACGAGCGGACGGATGTGTCGGTCGGCATGCGCGACAGCGTGCGACCACCTCCGTTGCCATTGGTGGCCTCGCCCGTGGTGCTGTCCGAGGCGGGCTCAGACGGGCGAGGCTTCTTGGCGGTGGAGGGTGTGCGCCCTCCGGTGGACATAGCAGCACGTTTGGTCATAGGTGGGGTGGGTTGAGAGGGTTGTGTGAGAGGAATAGAGTGAAGTTGTGGTTGCAAGGGCCTTGCGCGCGCGTCCATCCAGAAATACAGCCGTGTTACATAATAACTGTACAGTGGCTGGAATAATATATTGCCAGTTGTGGCTGAGATGCTGTGCACGCTTGAGCGAGCGCCGGCATTCAGTAGACCGGTTTACCAAATAGGAAACTGCGGCGGGTCAGCACTCGGGTCTCGGGTCCTGCGCGGGTACGGGTGATGTCCTGCTCGGGTGCCCTTTCTCTGACCCCAACCCCTACCCGCATGACCCCCGGGTCAAACCCGCGGCAGGTAACCCTACCCATGGTGAATCCTAGCCGCAGTGCGACGGTATGAAGCGATTAACGTCAGGACAAACACCTGTGATGATATTTAAAAACCAGAACCACAACAAACAGCCCTTCACCAACTACCACCATGATCATCACCACAATCCTTGCCAAAGAAAGAGGAGCAGCACCCGCTGAAGACTCCCTCTGCCCAACCCCCACAGCTAAACACTTTGATGTCCCAATCGTTCCACGTGTCCCACTCCACGTCGGCCAGATGGTGCACATCCTCTCCCTCTTCCCCTGCAATGGCCTCTTTCCAGGAAAGGGAGAAAAGCCGCCGAGATACACTGCATTTGACTCTGGCGTCTGGGGGAAGGTGGTCGAGATCAAGTCGATGGATAGGAACATCACCGAGTTCGTGGTGAGAAATGAGGCGAAGTGGGCGAAGGAGGCATACGCATACCTGGCGATCAAGCACATAGAAGGAACCACAGTCAGCCTGGGGAAGTGGAGGACCCTACTCCGTTCCACGATCCAGCGACCGGCCCCTGCAACTAGGGACATACCCCTCGAAATGGACGCAATTGTCTACAGGGACAGACCGGTGTCCCAGGACGATGAAGAAGAAGATATCGGCACACTAGGGCCGGGGAGGGAAAGGAGCGAGGGAGCGGAGTAGTGCAACGAGCGAGGAGGGAGAGTGCGGGAGCGAAGGAGAAATGAACGAACCTGCGAACGAGAGCGGTAGCTAAGATATGGACTTCAATGACGGAATGTGCGGCGAGGTGTCAAGTGGATGGCGACCGGACTAAGCGGACCGAGAGGGAGAAGATGAGTGCCTGGACGATCGGACAAGAGATCGAGATGGCGATTGAGATTGAGATTGAGAACTGCGAAAGGAAAGGGGCGGGCCAGAAGAACAAGCGCCGGAGCCGGGCGAATGAAAGAGATAATTGATGCGGGTAAGCGAAACGCATGAGGCAGACGAGACAGGCGAGCGAGGAGAGGGATAAACTGACGAGCTGGATAACCCGAGAATGAAAGGACCGAGATGGGAGAGCCAAAAGTGGCGAGAGCGCCGAATGGCACCCTCTCGCCATTCCACCACCTCCCGAGTCCAACCCAACCCACACCGAACTCGTCACCAGTGGTTGCCAGTTTTATAATATAATAGCCCACCAACGTGGTACTAGCATTGTGTATTTGGTGATCACCTTTTTTTAATGTCTATCAGGTGGGCCACCATTATATAATCCAAGGCCACCCATTGTAAAATAGACTGGGCCTCCTCTGTCAATGCCTGTTAATTTTATCCTGCCCATTTGGGCTTCCCTGTTGACTTCTGTCAATCCCTGTTAATACCTGTCAATGAGGCTAGGCTGCTTGTAGGTCCCTGTTTACCGCTCTTTGGGCGCTTTTTAGGCTTTCCAAATAGGGCAGGCATACCAAATGGCCGCACCTGGGCGTCTTTTTTTGGATTATCC